GTTTTGGCAACTTTGGAGATATAAATTTCGAAACCATTTTGCGAGGGCACGAGGCCTAGCCAAGCGGGATCAGTAGCCATATCTGTGCTTGTAGACCTCTGCGGCTTGAAACCTACTCCACAAATTAAAATGGTTGGATTTGGCCGAAATATGTTTGAATTGTTACCTTGTTTCGTTTTGTCGCTGCGTATACATCTGACTACACTTCTTAACGTTATGAGAGGATCGACCGACTGTCAACAACGTCTGACCGTGGCCGTGACGTCTCATAGACTAGGGTTAGAGTAGCTTCCCTTTGACAAAGGGCAGTTACTCTAGCGGACAGACCGATGGATTGCCGCGAAAGGCAAATAAAAACAATTGTTGTTTTGCGTATATGTTGCTTCGCCAGTGTATTAGAAACAGATTTCGGTCGGAACTATATTGGCTACGGTCACTGTCCGACTGACACATCACTTACCCTATGACGTAATAAATATTAATGCGCACATTCCAGGAAAACTGGCAATGTTTCGGTAATGTTTGTGAGAGAGGGAAAGCGATTTTGAAGCACAGAATTAAAGAATGACATTATATGATAAAGAGGTCATCACGCTTGTGTGTTTGGGGATGGTAAATATCCTGTATTAGGAATAAACACTATGTATCTACCTCGCCAAGGCTCGCTAAATACAATGTTTATTCCTAATGCAGGATATTTGCCATCCCCAAACACACAAGCGTGATAACCTCTATCTAGAAAGTTTATTACGGCTAATACTCTATCTACATGCGGCCAAGGGTACCTGTTACAAACGCAGAGCACCTTTCTACCAATAGACATGACCTTTCTTATATACATATTTATATCACGGTCATTGCCTTGTGTACACATATACAATTAGAGGTTCTTAGAAGTTGGATTAAGTTGGAGTAAGTAAGGAGTAGATATATGGATGAACAACTTCTTATTACAATTAGGAGCGACGTTTCGGTGCAGGTTCTTGTTAATTTCCCACGGCTGTCACAGCCTTCCAATTGTTGGTTTTCTTTAACTAGTTAGCATCTGTCATGTCTAATATGAAGCCTGTTTACAGTGCCGTACGTTATACAGATGGGGAAGGCTGACATTAATGATGTATGGAGAAAATCGCTTAACGAAAACATCAATCATGCTGAACAGGTACACATGTAGAAATCCGACAATCGCTGACAAATCGAAACGCATAAAACATCACCGTTACTCATGTTGTTCTAAACTACTCAATGACACCTATTCAAGGCGAGGTAATTTGACCAGGGGTTTAACGTCGCGTCCAAGATTACTAAAGTTATATATTTTATGTGTGTGAGTGTAAATGTGTGTCTGTTTGTACTAGTCCGGACTGATGCCGATTTTATAGTGTCATCCCACTGAGATACCATGCCGCAGTTTAACATGAATACCCCACTCAGACACAGTATGCTGACTCCGAACCGACCAGTCCTTGTTTTAGCCCCTTAATGCCGAGCGCCAGACAGGGTAACAACAAGTACCATCTTTTAACGTCTTTTGGCATGACGCGGCCGGGGACAAAGGAATGGTGACCTGAGTAACTGGGTCTCAGTAAGTCTTTGCTGTTTAAGGTGGTGCTGGTTTTCTGGTTTCTGGTGGCCTAATCTGTGCGCGAAGTGGCAGGTGAACGGTTTTATTGTGTCTGACCATGGCGTCTAATTTCTACACACAGAAACATGGTACTTCCTGCTCCGTGCTGCCTTACACGTGCTGTTGTCACGTCTCATTGGATCTTTCAATGCATCTTGCATGTTTGTACTAGTACATGAATACCCCACTCAGACACAGTATACTGTTTCCGAGCTGACCAGTCCTTTTTCCAACCCCTTTATGCCGAGCGTCAGGTAATGTAACAACAAGTACCATCTTTAACGCCTTTTGGAACGATCGAACCTCGGACCCTCTACTCTACCACCAGACCACGGAGGCGGTTCGACACCATTCAAAGACCTGCTGGACATAAAAGAAGAAATACTTCGAGTCATCTTAGTTCGAGACAAGGAGTTTAGCGATAATTAGATCAAAGTGTGCATCAGGATTGTGAGTTGCGGATCTGGTGAATAAATGTTTAAACCATCTCCATATATCCCTCATATAGCTATTATCGTTCTTCAAGTCAATACCGATTGAAATAATAATAAACGTTAACTTCAATAAAAGTCACAAACAAAATTAATGTCACAGATTAGCGAGGATGTTCTTACGTCGCTATTAGCAGCGGCTCTGTAGAATTATGACACGGAATACCAAGAAAGGATGGGGAAACGTGAGGTCATATGATCTACAATATAAGACATCAACAGCAATAAGAATTAATAAACAGTATGTTATGTTTGATTAATCCCAGGCTACCCCACACTGACTTCTGTTGTGTAATGTGCGTGGTATAATGTTCTACGCCCATCCCCGGATTGGAACTACGGTTAAATATGTATCCATGTTATCAGTAATTGATGCAAGAATTTCAAACGTGTAAACACGGGATAAGTACCCCCTGGATGTAAGTCTGAGTGATGATGGATGTAGTTGTCAGCAGCCATCTGAGTTATACGTTTAGTACTAACACCTATAGACACAGGCAAGTTTTATGACCCCAGTGTCTTGTGTCCAGCATACAGATGGGATTACCATGGTGATGGTACAACACTCCATCACACGTGGACATTTCACCCTGTCTGTTTACATGCAGGCATGCGTCTATTAAACAATGCATTGCTCATGTTCTCACTGCTGATGATAACGATAAATGGTATTCCGCTGTATGGGATGACAGAAATAAACCAAATGGGAATAAATTACGTACTTATAGAATTTATCAAAGTTTTTATGTCTATTTTTATGTCAAGAATATTAAGTTAAGGTATCATAGAAAATCTTTGCCTCTTTTAGATGCGGTAATCTACCACTGCATGCTGAGACCGGCCGATACGCCGAGCCTCCCACACCTTTGTCTGAAAGAATATGTAAATATTGTACTCGAAAGAACAAAATGCGAGCCCCCCCTCCCCCCTCCCCCCTCAACACACACACTTACATGTATGCTGAAGATGAATGTCATTTCTTAATCGGATGTAACTTTTTTTATGATTTACGCTTTTTCAGAATGTTTAGAATTATTAAAAGATATTAATAGAGATTTTCTAAAATTAGGTAGCTTAGATAAATTGATTTTTATTACGCAAGAGGAATCACTGCAATATATTTTAGATACGTCTATATTATATGTTTAAAAGAAGACAAAACTATCAAATGTAATTATTATTATTATTGTAATATTTAAAAAGTAAAACATCATTTTAATTTTTATTAGTATTGTATATTTAAAAAAGAGAGTTTTTTGGTGTTTTTTTTCACAATGAACATATGTATTTTAATGTGTCTCATAAGCCTAATAAGGCTTGATGTACAAGCTTTTATTCTTATGATGTCAAATGTTTTACCATGGCCGCTTGTGCATGTGATACAAATAAACATTTCTCTCTCTCTCTCTCTCTCTCTCTCTCTCTCTCTCTCTCTCTCTCTCTCTCTCTGCGTCTGTTCGCTGAATACATGACATGACCATTATCAAATTGGATTTTTGCTCATTCGTTCCCACTTGCTCCTCTCCGTAAACTATAAGAAGACCATTCGGATCGCCCCGGAATGACACAAGACAGAGATGGGAGGGGTGTGCGTAAATCACACACAAAAAACACCCCGACAGCTGTACGCATTTGTATGATAGACGGTGTGTCCAATGTTCAGGTATGCGTGACACTGAATATAAGCCTCTGTGACAGTTGACACAACGATGTCCTTGCTGGTCAGGGAGTTCGGACACAAGTGGACTAGGAGCGGTTATCCAAGCAACAATGAGCAGACATTGTTTTTAACAAACCTTTAACTATTATTTAACAATAACTTATTTAATACGTTTGTTCTTAACCTTAACACATTCTTTCTTTTTTCTTACCTTTTAACACTGAAGTGTTTTACTTTCAACGACTGAAAGATTGTGTTGCTTGACCCAAATAAAATATTGGTTAAAAGGATTTTTTTGAGGTGTCAATGCAATACAGTAAACTACGGTTATAACGAACTCAACGGGACCACTAACTTTAGTTTGTTATAACCGTAGTTCGTTATAAGCATATATACATCAAAACTATAGCAAATAGTCAGGACAAAAAATCGGTTCGTTATAACCGTCAGTTCGTTATAAGCGTGTTTGTTATAAACGTACTTTACTGTGGATTCATTTTCCACCTATTGTGACTACTGTCACAAATCCCCGGCTGAAAGCAACATTCACTATACATAACTATATATCCATATAGAAAATAGCGATATTCGTAAATCGTATCCTCTATTAATTTCCTGATAAAACACATGTGTTCTATTACAAAGGCACATTATCATATGGAACCACAGAAACCGGAATCGATATCCAACGACATGATTTAACAGCTTCATCGCAATGGTGTTTTGACGACTCGGCTTACAGCTTCCTCTTCTTTGCATCAGATGATGCGACAACAGAAACAACGTTTATTCCGCTATCGCTGAAATCTCAGACAAATTTATCAAAAAGAGATCCATTTCATCCGTGGACAATTCCCTAAAGAAACATGGTCAGTGATATTTGAAAATACAGCATGGAATGATGCTTAACATTTTCCCAAGTGAACATAACAATTAAATTCACGTTCATGATATATGTACCTTTTTTCAAAATTGCATCTAATCGAAAATAAATTTCATATGAATTTAAATAGACACAACAAGGTGTAACATATAACATCAATCAAACATGCATAAGCGTCCTAAGGAGTCCAATTACCCTCCACGGAGAACCACATTTCCCATTACAGGTGAAGGGTATCATTCCGGCCATAAAAGTGTCTCGCTATTTTTTGTCCACGTTTCCTGTCAGCCTTCGTTAAAACTGTGCACCGCTGCTTCAACGCATCAAACAACTAATCTGAGTCATCGCTCAAGAAAGACATTGTTTTTTATGAAAAGAATGCACATAAGGTATTGATGTATACGCTGTCACGGATTGTCAGATCAAATCCGATGGTGACGTCAAACCGAAAAAAAACAATATCTGGTTCGTAATTGGAGTGCGGCAAGGAGGGTTCCTGAACGTGGGTTTGTTACATGGACATGTAGCCACGAAGAAAGCAGTACATTAGAATTCATCTGACGTGTGTGCTACACAAGGCGACATGGACCGCGGGTTATCTTTGGCAGAGACGTATGTGTCGGTCACCTAAAGTTAACAAGATGGACTAAGAAGGATGTTTATTATTACCAGAGGAAATACATGACACAAGTGTGGAAATATGCCGCCGGGGATTTGAATGTTTTATAAAATACACAATTATACAAGATGGAAACACCTCGCTGGATTCGTTTCTTTAGTAATGAGGATTTTCGTGATTACCAGCAACAAGCACAGGTGTACCGGGGGAAGGTAGGCGAAGCCATCTTACTTTCAGATCAAGGTATTTAGAGACAAGACAAGATATTCGAACTTTGTGACGAGTAACATACATGAGAGCGTAATTACATGGAAAGTAATACGTTTTTTTCTGAAATGTGAAAGTTTTTTTTTATAATGTACAGATTACAAGAATATTTTTTACAGACAATACAATTTACTCATGCATGAACAATATAAGAATATGCTGATGGGTGTGACGTGTTTATGTTAAAATGACACTCGCTTGCACAATGTGTTACATCTCGCTGTTGCTGACATCCACTATGGTCGCCCCCTAGCTCTGAACGTATTCACTGTCATCGCCGGTACAGTGGAACTTACACCGCACTCTCCTCCCCTAACTATCTTCTTACTTACCTGACCGCCTCCGTGGTCTAATGGTAGAGCGTCCGCCCGAAGAGCGGAAGGTCCGGGGTTCGATCCCCGGCCGCGTCATACCAAAAGACGTTAAAAGATGGTACTTGTTGTTACCCTGTCTGGCGCTCGGCATTAAAGGGCTAATAAATCGGCATTAGTCCGGACTAATACAAGCAGCCACACACACACGTACATGCACGTCGCTATATAAATGCATGTACCCGACGTTAAACCTCATTTCACCTAACTCACCTACCTACCTACCTACCTACCTACGTCTTAAGGGATCAAGTCTACCCTCTACATAATAAAATTTCTTACACACCTTTGGGTGAGAAACCCATTTCAGATAACTGGTATCAAACATATGTGTGAGATCGAAGTCCAGGCCCGTGATTGGCTACACCATAGTGATGACCTGAGTTCAGAGGATTAGTCTTCAACACTAACTTCGAAGTCGAATAAAATTCAAAATACATCACGCAAAACAATTCACTTTACAGTTTTGAATTGAATTCCCCCTTCTGTTTATCATTTACTGTCATGTGGGGCAAAGCAAAAATTACTGAAGGTGTCAATGAACACGCCATTTTGTAAAAGTCGGTCACCGGTAGTGATGCCATACGGAAGTAAACATTGTTGTACATATTTGGTAATTTCTTTGAGGTGTGAACTTTTAAGTCGGCACCCAGCGTGTTCTTTGCTTTTGTCTAGTTTGCATTATCATCATCGCCTTGATAATCCACAGATATGGCGGAAACCTTTTTGTGTAGGGTCACATTATTTATGAGTAGTAAGCAGTACATAGGATGACGTCACTTATGACAGTGGTGTTATGTATTAATTCGCTACTGCGATCATGAGAATAGACAAAATGCATCGAATTCGATGCTAAAAAGGTGCGATTTTAGCGTGTGTAAGAAACAGATTACTGCTCTCGTGTCTGTCAGATACCACTGATCTTACAACTCGTTGTAGCTTTCGCTCGTTAGATACATTTTGAAACAACTCGTAAGATCAATGGTATCTGACAGACACTCGTGTAGTAATCTCTATGTATGTCTTGTCTAATTTCCGTCTACCTATTGGTATGTCTTCCCATCAAGTATATCATCTGTCTACTTAACGGCATGTCATCTGTCTAGATTTGTCACGCGATGGGGAGAGACCGTAATGGGTATCAGCTGAGAGCCGTCAATTCTTTTGGCGAGAAATCCAGTGAACCAGCTCAGTCAGAATACAAATCATATTGCACAGAGCCCCACAGGGTTGGGAACGAACAACAACCTGCGCTCAGTAAGGCACACGTGGACCGGGGTCATGAACACCAACCAAAGTCACACAAAGATGAGGGTGATGAACACCTGCAACCGTCACACAAAGACGGAAGACCTGCAAGCAGAACCTCTTCCCAGATGGAGTGGGAACGTGATCGCCATTCTGCGACCCACAAGAAGGGTCGAAGGGAACGCCAAACAACGTCATGCAAAGAGGGGAAACAAGAACGTTCCACATCCCTCCACAAAGAGAGGGGACATCAACGCCATTCCACGTCCCTCAAGAACGGCGGACAAGAACGACCTCTAACGACCGTTACAGTGAGCAAGGGAGATAAGTCAAGTTGCCAAGGGCTGGACCACAGTTCGAACGAAACGTCAGGCAACTCCACCTTGGAGCTTATCAACTTTAAAAACGCTGGAAGAAATCCTGTAGTGCTATCCTGCCTCTTGTTACTTGTCGTGTTGATCGTAGGAGCGACAGTAATCGTCATATATTATATTCTCAACCAAAAACAAGGTAACGTATTTCGAATGTTGTTTACAGTACAGAATAAATATACCGTATGCTATAGCAAACGTATAACGTGTTCACGGGAGTAACTGTTTCACCCCATAATGACGTTTTAAATATTAAGTTCATTTATATTTTGGTTATATCTTTATTTATTTCTTTTATTCACATTAATGAATAACACATAATGCCACTATAGTTTTGAGACTTGGAGCAGCAAATTATACAGATAACATTGTCTTTTCTTTATCAAATAACCTGCGTATTTCAGGCCGAATTCTACATTTTTACTCTATCTTTCGTGGCTTAATTTGGTCAGGTGGCTCTTTGAGATGAATCTGTCGTTACACGAAAAATCGTTTGTAACTTAATTACGTCCATTGTATGTTTATATCACGAATGAACAAATGAGGCACATGGAAGCAAAATATTTGTGTCAATATAATACGTATTCAGTTATGAGGAAACTATGAATCATATCCATGTATGTATGACACATATGCACATACTTCTGTCATGTTGTCTATCACATTCCGTGGCCGAAAATGTTTTATGAATCTAAAAGCAAGTTATAAAATACATAGATGAAATAACGTTATGGAACTGAGACTAATAATTTTCTCTAAAGAAATAGTTTCCGTAACTATCGCTAGAAACACACAAATGACATGCTGTAACAGGTTCACATTGTCACTGAACGAAAAGCTATATTTCCAAGAATGGAAATAACAAAGAGAATACCATTGTAAAGTTGGTGTGACTGACCGCTTATTCAAATCATTGTTTTTAATTTGAATGTTTTTTACTCAATTTGATTACACTGGAAAATATTAGTTTTTATTATCACGTGATTACGCTAGTGGGATTTCAGTGGATTTGGGACGTTCTGTGTCTCTTCAAATGATGTAGTCTGAGAAATATTAATGATGACTGTTTCAACGTGTAATCTGTATGTGTTGTGAGGTGGTTTCAGGCTGCATATTATTAGTAATAAAGCGTTTTATGTGCAATTGTAACAATGATTAAAGGTAGGATTTCAAATCTACCTTCGAGATGGAAATTGTATTTCTATGTATTTTCTTCACTGTCACTAGGGCTGCCACAAATGACACCCGAAGTTGAGAAGTTGCAAGGAACACGTGAGTCTATATAATATCTATTTCACACGTAAATGTCAATGTAAACTGCCGGGCAAAAGAAATTATACACCCATGTTTGATAGTGGCTAAAAATGAAACAAATAAGAAATGGTTATTCGATGGTATGTATTTGATACGGGTATCATAGTTGTGTTTTGGACCTTAGGTTTGGAGTGTTTCGGCAACGGGTTTCAGCCTAGTAACGTTTACAAAATGTTTGTAATGTTTTGGTCAAATCCATTTTCAAGTGTTTCGTTTGTTGCTTTGCAGTTTAGATTAAGAGGCAAATATACATTAAAATCAAGGCTTAGGTTATGTTCGCGTTTGTACCTGAAAGCCATGTGACATATTTCTCATCCACGTGCTGGTAATTTAAAACATGCTGTATATAGGATACAATTTCAAGGCAATCTTTACATTTAGGTTAAATATCCAGTTCTAATACTAGTATTAGTGGGAGATTTTTCTTAGTCTAAACTATGCCGTCATTATTGGCAACAGATTTTTGTAAAATTATCAATCGTTCCTGCTTGCCACGGAAACAGAATTGCCTGATAACCTGGTCATTTGTAAATAAGCTCCTGTTGAGAAATATGATTCAATAGCCTAATTGAAGATTGTCATCCCGTTTTCTCTCAGTTACACTGCTAAAACCATTGATTTATCTTTTGACAAACCTGTTTAAAAAAGATAAAGCGATCAATTCTATTAGTGTTATACAAAGTTGTAAAACTAATAGCCAATGTGATTTCTGATGTAAATAATATAAATATATATTGTCATAACATTGTCTTTATTAATCACTTGTGTAATATATTGTCATGATGTTGAAATTAATATACTCTTGTATTAACATATTGTCAAATATGCATTATCCAGGTCTTATTTAGCTTTATACTCCTTACTGAATTTACATATTGTCAAGTATTGTCTTTACGTAACTTTTGGTATGAATAGTGCTTGATTATATGCTCTGTTAAAGTCCTTAAAACACAGCAGAACTATGTTGTATTCACACAAGCTGAAATTTCCCACCCTCTATATCTCCTGGGCTAGTATTTCGATAAATTTACACTTATACCAGGATCTATTCCCCTGGTTCTTGCGGCCGACGATTACCCGCCCGAGATTTTCATTAACATTTTACCGACCAATCAAACGTCGAGAAAAGGGAAAGGGAAAATATAAGGGAGGTAACTCGTTTTACCCCAAACCCCAAGCCACGTCGGTTTTGATGGACAGGAAGACATCCCTTCCATCAAAAGGTTATTTGGGGTCTTTCTTTTGCGTGTCAAACACTTTTCAATGTTGAATTTCTCGTAGCGTAGCCAAACAAATAAGCAAACGGAAATCAAGGGCGGGTAATTTGAGATTGCGAGAACCACGGGAGAGGATCCAGGGTTAGTTTAGGTTTAGCCAAATGCGAGCCCTAGAGATACAGAGGATGCCAATATACTATCAATGCTTAAAAGCAACAAAATATCAAAAACGTCTTTACATAATCTTTGGTTTAAAGGAGATTTACAGTAAACAATACATTTAGGATTAAATCATTTGTTAAACTTATAAAAAATACCTATCTTCAAGGAAAAATTCTAAAGGAAATATTAGTGACAAAAAAGGCTAAAACATACTCGTATTCCAGAAACTACGGAGAGTTAATTAGCAGGATGTCATCACGTGATCTGACGTCATAGTGGAGAGCTGATTTGCGGACGATCACCGTTTCTGTATAGTGTGTGGTAGATTACGAGCGTTCGACCTGGCGTCACCAGACAATGCCATCGATGAAAACGTTGGATTTTCGACCTTACACATATTCACCATGTCAAGATCTATCGAGTGTAGACGATCAGTCTGATGTGAATAAGGGAAGACTATGGAACAAAAACGTTTAACGCTATTGTGACATTTCTAAATAAAATGGATGTGTATCAATACATAAAAAATGCGAGAAAATTGTTCTTGTGTAAAATGTACTAGGTGTAGGTTGACGCTTACCATTGTCATAACATTGCTCACTGTGTTGTCTTCATGCCAATCAATTAGCCTAGTCCTCGGGCTAAAGCTAAAGTTGTTTTCTATACAAATGAATGTTATCTGTTAATTGGATTGTCTAATGATGGTTGATTCAATTTGTGTAAATAGTTGTAATAGTATACATTGATCAATAGAGGGCTATTAGTGGCAGACATTTAGCCAACTGCATGCACAGTGACTCTACTCGTCTTGTCAAAAAACATCCATCATTATAACATGGAGTACCATATATTAGAGACACAATCGAAGAATGACAAAAACATAGATAATTTATTTACAACAAACAAATTAAACTAAAACTGGCACTATTACACTAAAATACATATTACGTTGTAATTTCTCTAAAAATATACACTTCATCTAACCTAAAACAGTTTTTGTCTTACAATAACTTATCCTAGATTTAGATACAGAACATGACTAAAATTATCATCGATGAGGATCCTGAGGCGAGATTCATGGGTAAACCTCCATTCTTTTTGAAATTCTGATTATTAATAATCGATGATAAACATATATCCAATAAAGCTGACACACAAATACCTTTTCCACATTGACATTTATCGTGAAATTATTCCCGAGGCAAATACATGTACTTGATATTTGTATTTCTCATTTTCCATGACTAAGACCTCTTCATTGATATCATCTATCCTGTTTTGATATAAATAAAGGTATATATAATTACGTGATGGTGAGTATAAACCTGCTTTCTTTAATTCTTTTTAAAATTAAACATAATTTCAACGCTTTCAGATACTGTGTATATAGACGATTCTCAACTTCCACTAAATACGACCTGAAAATGTAGAAAACTAACTATGAATACTAAATTTGTTTCGTTAACAAGTTGTTTTAGTTTGTGTGGATCTCTCTCAAAGACAGATGCCTCAAGATGCAAGGAAAACGGCACATCCAGTCGGTTTCAATTTTCCCCTTTGCTGACATCACTATATCTAAACTTTCGCACTCGCTAAATCGGCTTTTTCGATTGGAAATTCCTAAGAAATGACACTTGGTACATTTGTTTGATGAACTGGTATAGTCCCTCCGCAACACAATACCCAATTTAGCGTCTTTAATACAACGTGACCAGCGGAAAATTGTCATTCACACCAACATGTCAACGTGTCGTATTTGAAAATTAAGTATGTGAATTATGGTTTGTGGATACTCACTCACTCACTCACTCACTCACTCACTCACTCACTCACTCACCCCCTAAATCATCTATCAAACAATCCTCCATTCACTCCATCATTCACGCACTCTGAGTCTGAGTTTGGTGACCTCCATTAACTTGATATATGACGATGCACCTATGGTCCAGATATTATCTTTATCGGCACAATGATACAGAATAGGAACTCCGCTTGTGTCGAACTACGGATAACTCCCTACACATATATATATACATATATATCTGTGGGCCCGAGGACTTCGAATTTGGGGAGTCTTCACTGTACTGTTCCCAGTGTGTCGGATCCCACGTACTAATTTTGCGTTGACGTTGTGGCCGTCCTGTTTACTCTAATTTTCACTAAATCTGACTATTCGTTGGGTGTGTCCCATTGCATGTCTTCCTTGTTTCAGATGTGATAAGGGCAAACGTCAGAATGAAGATTCTCAACAAGTCCTACAAGCCTGCCATGAACCAATCTGTCTCTGCAAAGTTCGCGTCCATAGCAGAGCCATTCGCAACAGAGGTAAAGAAGATCCGGGTAGAACCCATGCTTGCCATAAAGGCGACTATGCTTGTCATAAAAGGCGACCATGCTTGTCGTAAGAGGCGACTATGCATGTCGTAAGAGGAGACTATGGTTCGAAATGTGTCTATGTTCACGAGCTTGGATGAGATGGTTAAGTGAATGTTCACCTCATACTGCAGTTTGGCTACATCCTCCCAGGGAGCTGAGAATAAAATGCTAATGCACACTGACCCATCGGCCATGGAAATAATGCAGCGTTAATGCGCATGCTTCAAAATAATGAATTTGGGGCATTATGAAGATACACATTACATATTATTCGGTAATGAATGACAACCCATCTTGGAGACCGACCATTTAATAATCTTTGATTAATGTGGACCAATTTAGCCGAAGTGATTTAAATGGTGAAGTAGTGTTTAAATTGAGATTAGGCCCAACTCACTCACACAAGCCAAGGCTAGGGCACATTGATCACATGCACACAGTGTTGGCTGTTTTGGCGGACTACGGTTACAGCATACAGCATTACTGCTCTGATGTTTCTCAATGTCATTCAAACATATGCTGGAATCTCTTTTGCATCGTTGTATGTATCGTAAGAGCATTTTTTTTGGAATTATTCAGACTATATTTACTTTACTAGGAGAAAACAATAACATGCGTAAGAACAAAATACATCAAGTAGCAATCACAAAGTTGACCAGGTCAGTATTATCCTCACTGTGAAATATCTCAGCATCTTATCCGACCTGTGAAGAACTTAAGTCCATATTATCACCGTGTTATTTGGATCAAGGTCAAGGTCAAGGTTCGGGTAATCCAAAAAGCATACCACCAGGTCCCACCTGCACAAAGCGATCTTAGCGCTAAGACGCTCGTAACTCCCATACTTTAACATAGGCTTACGATAGTATTAGCGCTAAGATCGCTTTGTGCAAGTGGGCCCAGGTGTACAACACGTTGCTCTTAACAGTGTAATGCACGGGAATCTATCAAACCGTATCTTGATTGGAATTACAACTTACGGAACAAGATGTAATTCAAATATGATCGATTGCCGTATGTTAATAATTCTATTAGCATGCAGACTTTTTTAAAGATTGGCTTTGGCAAAATTTAAGAAAAAATAACTTAGTAATACCCCTCTACAATCCATGTCTCTTTCGAGTTCATTTGAAGAAGCAGTAAAATCTCTAATTTGAAGTAGAATGTGACAAGAAATTCATCGTGAGTGAGTATGGTTTTAAGCCGGTTTTAGCAATATTCCAGAAATATTATCTGTATAATATAGAAACATTTTCACTTTTTCAGCTCGACGAAATCTTCTTATTATCCGTTTTCGGTAAAATTTATTACGGAGCCACAGTGCAGAGTTTGAGGTAGGTATTAAATACATGTTTATGTATAAAGAGTGGGTGAGTATGGTATTACGCCACTTTTAGCAATATTCCAGCAATATCACGGCGGGTGACATCAGAAATGGGCTTCACACAGTGTTGTGATTGTACCTATGTGGGGAATCGAACCCGGGCTTCCGGCGTGACGAGCGAACGCAGTAACCACCCCACCGCCCCTGGACTTGCTGTGATATGTCATGGCTATACACGTTAACGTTTTTATGATAGTTTTGGGAATTGTTTCGAAGTGAAATTTTACCCCTACCTCCATTCAAAATTGGTTAGGATAGAAACAAGGTTGTAAACATACTTATTATGAATAATCCAAAACAGGATGTGTAAACCACATATTCCACACGTATAGTGATAACGAAATAATGTAGATGTGCCTGCCCTTGTGTCGCTGATGACAGGTGCTTTGTTAACCGAACTCTGTAAAACAAATCAGCATCGATCAATCCTAATTGATGTGTCATACAAGATGAACAAAGATCATTTTGCGTATGACGTATTTAATAGGTTAGTAAGCGTGCGCCAATACGATCCATTATAAATTAACTACCGCGATATAATCGCATCACACGACAAAGACGCAATAACGCAACGGATCAACGGACTTTCACATTTTGTCATCTGTCATACCAGATGTGTATACTGTACTACCCAACGTTCATAGAGGTAATCAGATCAGTGCCATTCTTCCTAAATATACGCATGTGTTATGTGTGTTATGGTAATAAAGATGAAACTTTCCCTATCAAAAGTGGAGCAGTTGTTATACAGAGCACGATACAAGCTAGCTGAGTATACCCGTGAAGATCCGGGGTAGAATAGGTCTTCAGCAACCCATTCTTGCAGTAAAAGGCCACTATGCTTGTCGTAAGAGGCGACTAACAGGATAGGATGGTCAGGTTCGCTGACTTGGTTGATGCATGTCATCGTATCCCAAGTGCGTGGATCAATGCCTATGATGTCAATCACTGGATTGTCTTGCCTAGATGGATTATTTACAGACCGCCGTCATATAGCTGGAATGTTACTGAATGCGGCGTAAAACAACAAACAAACAAACAAACTTAAGGCAACAATGTACTATAACACTTTTACATGAAACTTTTGCCTTAATGGCGTCTTTGGTTCCAGTCCAGGCAGTATCCAGACCGACACGGATCTCATCCTACTGGACACGGGACTTGTAAAAGATGGGGAGATCATCCGGCGCACCATCTCCGACTCGGCGAAGACCGTGGCTTACCAGGATGTGACGGCCTTTGCTATTGGAGACTTCATCGTGTGCGCAGACTGCATCACCGTGGACTTGTACAACATCATTCTGGACGCGCTGCCCACAAAGCCGGAATATTCCACTGCAAGAGGTGAGAACTATGGATGGCGTCCGTATCACGTCTTGTTCATTTTGGTATTGGTACCTGCACCGTTAAGGGGCGGACCATTAGTACCAAGAAAACTTGAGATTAATAATTTGGTAACAGGTTTCATTAAAATAAAGAACCGGATTTCCTGCTTCAAACGAAATATAGCTAAAATATTTGTTTGTCTCATAGTTTGTGTTTCCGATCAGATATCGGTAATGGCTGCCACGGCTGACATATTGGAAATCCTTTTGTGCATTTCTGAATCAGTTCATATGCATCTCAAAATGTAATAAATGACTATCAGGTCATAATTATTCTTTCCACAAAATTTAATTCGAGTGAAACTACAATTCTGATATAATTCCTGAAACAAATGAGTTTTGAAATTGAAATCTTGTGTTTCTGGTCAGAGCCAGAAATTCTAACGTAAGTGTGTTCTGATGATAACATGACCCAACAGCATTCCTATTGTGAATTTCTTTTGTCTCCATCTATGAGCTATTCATTACTGTAAATATGGTAGAAGGTCGGATTGGCGTATCGTGGCATAGGATGTAGGCATATGATCGTGGTGGCACGTGGTCCTGTGCACAGCGTGCAGGAGTCAAATTAGGTGAAGTTAAGCAACGTTGGTCACGGAGAGTCCTTGGATGGGTCAACTCCTGAGGGTTTCTGGGGCTTCAGGGCTGCCCCACACTGAAGCACCTTAAGCAAGTGACTTTCGTTCGAAATTGCCACTGTTCATCCTGCAGTGGGTGAGTGAGTGCGTATGGTTTTACAACGCTTTTAGCAATATTCCAGCAATATCACGGCGGGGGACACCATAAATGGGCTTCACACATTGTATCCATGTCGGGAATCGAACCCGGGTCTTCGGCGTGACGAGTGAACGCTTTAACCACTAGGCTACCCGACCACCCCTCATCCTGCAGTGGATGGGTACCCGGTAGGATGGTGAATGGAATTTAGCGCATTATGAATGTACAGATTACTATTATCTTAAAACTGTGCTTTGATTTAAAACAAAAAACAAAAACAACTTTGACGTAAACAATTTTAGGGACACAAAACATGTCATGCGTCACCCAGGTACTTTTGTCATGAAAAGATATGAATTTTATGACACCTTATCGAAAACATTTTTCGGCGATATATTATTGTGTCAATAAGTTAGACAAATTTAAACATTTTGTCCAACATAGGCACATTCATTTGAGTTCATTAACTAAGTTTTCATTAAGTTTTTTCTAAACATCGCATGTTGCAGCTAGTGGCCCTGTCAGTCTGCACGGCAGGGACTGTAGTTCCTTGTGTCCTGCATCAGGATCCGCAGATTTCGAATCTCCTGTCGAGTCGAGAGTTCGTTCCACATTGCTATGTGATACAAATGTATACAGTTCGAAGTACCGTTGGTATGCGCCAAACTATCTGGCAAAACAAAGTATACACTTGAAAATTGGATTTGACCAAAACCTTACAAACGTTAGCAAAACATTACCAGACTGCAACACTGCAAACTTAAGGTCCAAAACACAACGAGGAAACGGATATCAAACACAGCACTATCGAATAACCATTTCTTGTTTGTTTTATTTTTACCCCCCATCAAACATTGATGAATACGTTCTTTGGTCCGGCAGTGGACATAATTACGGCAGAACGTTTTTTCATTTGATGTTCAACATTCCCATCGTCAGTCTATGAAACGTCCGGCTACTCGTGACGTCACAGTTTGTTTTTACAGATTTAACCTAATTTCAGCCTAACCTCATTCCGTTTGCTATCGTGAAGTTACGTGATGCAGTAATCCCCCACAGACCTGGGTTCCTGCCGATATTGAACCATATCTGCTTGGTTGATGTGAAGCGAGGATTTTTTATGGCGATCTATTTCGATTTATCTATATCCACCGACGGCCCTTTTCAGATTTCTTATTCTCCTCAGGTCGTCGTAGAAAGTGATACAGTTTGGGACCTGACAATGTTAAAATAAGAAATGAACTGTAATATGAAACTAGGATATGTTCCTTAAACAGGCAGCGCCTGAACCCGATTTTGACCTTCAAAAGCAATATAAATAACACCCACCTGCCATTTTACTTCGCGGAATTGTCATACTTTCGTTTACAATCAGGGTGCGCAGTGCTATAAGCATCTCTATGCGTAATATTTATGTAACTGGGTCTCACCTGGGTAACTTGTCTTCTACGATATGGCTGTGCACTGTCGTGATGGTGATTTCGCACATTCTGATAGAAATTTAAAAATGAGATGTTTTCTATGTGTAGAACAATAGTGAGTGAATTCTGGGTTGACGTTGCTTTAAACAGTATTTTATTTACGCCATTATGATGACGTGTTAGCTCAAAGGAAACCATCGATCGATATCCAAAGGTTTGAAGCCCTAAAGTAACGTATTTGTAATAAATACCAGTTTAAACGTACAGGTATGTGAACAAAACCCCTTGACGAAATAAGAGCAGGATAGAACCGTGAAGTTCCGGAGTAGAATAAGTCTTCAGTAACCCATGCTGGCTGTAAAAGGCGACTATGCTTGTCGTAAGAGGCGACTAACAGGATCGGGTGGTCAGGCTCGCTGACTTGGTTGATGCATGTCATCGTTTCCCAATTGCGTGGATCGATGCAGATGATGTCAATCACTGGATCACTTGTCCACACTCGATTATTTACAGACCGCCGTCATTATAGCTGGAATATTGTGCATGATACTGATAGTATAGTCTGTGCAACAAAAGTGACATTCGTAATTTTTTGGATGAAATTAAGTCATTTTCCAAATCTTTAACATCTAAAAATCCCACATTATTTTATGGTAAGCTTGGCTATGTTCCTCCTCAACTCTTTCTTTTCGCTAAATAATTTATTTGGCATGGAAATCTTTTACACAGTACATGCACTAATTTGCCCGGTCTGAGAATATACGGGTGTTGCTTAACTAATTTCCATGTATATATATATACCTTCCGTTCAACAAATCCTTTAGATGTGACATTTATTAACATAAAGGAATGTTTTCTGTAGTTATCAAGTTGTTTTCTTTTCCAGGGACGACAGCTGTTGCCGATGTGTCTGCCGCCAACACCACCCCTGAAAAAGGTAATGTCATGCTATATTTACACTTTTAAGTATACTCCTACCAAAAAAGCCAAACCGTATATGTGGTTTTAAGAGATCCATTCTGTGAAAGCTCCAAGGTTTTAATTCAATTCGTGGGGCATGTGAAACGGCGTTCATCAAATGTTAACGGAGAAATCTTTGCATGAAACGGTTGGACCGTGGTGTCCACGACTGGCATAAATGACGGTACGACACCCCTGCCCCGTGGAGCCAAGAACGCTGCGGATGACGTCTTGTGGATTGGCAGCCCAGTCGAACTGAAGAGCTCGGCGCAAATGCTGCAGATTCCCTGGTTAAAGGATGCCTGGATGACGTTGGCGTAAACGTCTGTCTCGTGCACCCAATAGGAGCTCAATTGGAATGAATCCAGTGCCACTGACGGTCACGGCAGTATGTTTAGAAACCAGCGCAGATGTGTGGTGTGTGGGGACGGGCACTGTCAGACGCCTGGTTGTTGTAGGGACGGGACAACGCGAGGTCATAAGATCTCGTCACAATAACACCGGTTACACTACCCTGGAAAATATTGGTAATACCTATGCGTTTCCTTCTACGGAGAGTATATTGTAGCACTCTGTTAAAATCAGTTGTCAACCATCTTCGATGTATCTTGTGAAAGAATGTCATGTTGATATGCAGAACACGTCACATATCAGAAACCTTATCCCTGGTACAAACATTGACATTTTCATTTTCTTTCTCACGTTCTTCCGTTCAGAAACTTCAAGTCAAAACCCGTTGACGAAGACACGCATTACACACGAGGCGACGGCGACAACGAAACCATCAGGCGCAACACCAACAACGACGACTACGTCAGTCACGACGCATCGGGCATTCTGTAAGTTAGAAGACTAATTAACTCACTTTAGAAATAATTCCCCTTCTGAATCAGAAATATACAGGATGATGTATTTCCTCCTCCTTCATCTGTAATGGAAGCGAACTATCGACGTGGCCATGGTGAACATGTATTAGTCCTGTGACAGTGCTATGTGTGTGTGTGACAGTGGCCATAGTGTTGGTATATGAGTATAAGTATGTGACAGTGGTATAAGTATGTGACAGTGATATAAGAACGTGACTGTGGCATAAGAACGTGACAGTGGTATACGTATGTGACAGTGGCATAAGTATGTGACAGTGCTATGTGTGTGTGTGTGTGTGTGTGTGTGTGTGTGTGTGTGTGTGTGTGTGTGTGTGTGTGTGTGACAGGGGTATAAGTATGTGACAGTGGTATAAGTATGTGACAGTGGTATAAGTATGTGACAGTGGTATATGTATGTGACAGTTGTATAAGAACGTGACAGTGGTATAAATATGTGACAGTGGTATAAGAACGTGACAGTGGTGTAAGTATGTGACAGTTGTATAAGAACGTGACAGTGGTGTAAGAACGTGACAGTGGTATAAGTATGTGACAGTGATATAAGAACGTGACAGTGGTATAAATATCTGACAGTGGTATAAATATGTGACAGTGGTATAAGAATGTGACAGTGGTATAAGTATGTGACAGTGGCATAAGAACGTGACTGAGGTATAAGTATGTGACAGTGGTATGAGAACGTGACAGTGGTATCAGTATGTGACAGTGGTATAAGAACGTGACAGTGGTATAAGTATGTGACAGTGGCATAAGTATGTGACAGTGGTATGAGAACGTGACAGTGGTCTCAGTATGTGACAGTGGTGTAAGAACGTGACAGTGGTATAAGTATGTGACAGTGATATAAGAACGTGGCAGTGGTATAAATATCTGACAGTGGTATAATATGTGACAGTGGTATAATAACGTGACAGTGGTATGAGTATGTGACAGTGATATAATAACGTGACTGTGGTATAAGTATGTAACAGTGGCATAAGAACGTGACAGTGGTATACGTATGTGAAAGTGGTATGAGAACGTGACAGTGGTCTCAGTATGTGACAGTGGTATAAGAACGTGACAGTGGTATAAGTATGTGAAAGTGGCATAAGTATGTGACAGTGGTATAAGAACGTGACAGTGGTATAAGTATTTGACAGTGGTATAAGAACGTGACTCTGGTATAAGTATGTGACAATGGCATAAGTATGTGACAGTGGCATAAGTATGTGACGGGGGTATATGAATGTGACAGTGGTATAAGAACGTGACAGTGGTGTAAGTATGTGACAGTGGTGTAAGTATGTGACAGTTGTATAAGAACGTGGCAGTGGTGTAAGAACTTGACAGTGGTATAAGTATGTGACAGTGATATAAGAACGTGACAGTGGTATAAGAACTTGATAGTGGTATAAGTATGTGACAGTGATATAAGAACGTGACAGTGGTATAAGAATGTGACAGTGGTATAAGTATGTGACAATGGCATAAGTATGTGACAGTGATATAAGAACGTGACTGTGGTATAAGTATGTAACAGTGGCATAAAAACGTGACAGTGGTCTCAGTATGTGACAGTGGTATGAGAACGTGACAGTGGTCTCAGTATGTGACAGTGGTATAAGAACGTGACAGTGGTATAAGTATTTGACAGTGGTATAAGAACGTGACTCTGGTATAAGTATGTGACAATGGCATAAGTATGTGACAGTGGCATAAGTATGTGACGGGGGTATATGAATGTGACAGTGGTATAAGAACGTGACAGTGGTGTAAGTATGTGACAGTGGTGTAAGTATGTGACAGTTGTATAAGAACGTGGCAGTGGTGTAAGAACTTGACAGTGGTATAAGTATGTGACAGTGATATAAGAACGTGACAGTGGTATAAGAATGTGACAGTGGTATAAGTATGTGACAATGGCATAAGTATGTGACAGTGATATAAGAACGTGACTGTGGTATAAGTATGTAACAGTGGCATAAAAACGTGACAGTGGTCTCAGTATGTGACAGTGGTATGAGAACGTGACAGTGGTCTCAGTATGTGACAGTGGTATAAGAACGTGACAGTGGTATACGTATGTGACAGTGGAATGAGAACGTGACAGTGGTCTCAGTATGTGACAGTGGTGTAAGAACGTGACAGTGGTATAAGTATGTGACAGTGATATAAGAACGTGACAGTGGTATGAATATCTGACAGTGGTATAATATGTGACAGTGGTATAAGAACGTGACAGTGGTATAAGTATGTGACAGTGATATAATAACGTGACTGTGGTATAAGTATGTAACAGTGACATAAGAACGTGACAGTGGTTTACGTATGTGACAGTGGTATAAGTATGTAACAGTGGTATAAGAACGTGACAGTGGTGTAAGTATGTGACAGTGGTATGAGAACGTGACAGTGGTCTCAGTATGTGACAGTGGTATAAGAACGTGACAGTGGTATAAGTATGTGAAAGTGGCATAAGTATGTGACAGTTGTATAAGAACGTGACAGTGGTATAAGTATTTGACAGTGGTATAAGAACGTGACAGTGGTATAAGTATTTGACAGTGGTATAAGAACGTGACTCTGGTATAAGTATGTGACAGTGGCATAAGTATGTGACAGTGGTATAAGAACGTGACAGTGGTATAAGTATGTGACAATGGCATAAGTATGTGACAGTGGCATAAGTATGTGACAGTGGCATAAGTATGTGACAGTGGTATAAGAATGTGACAGTGGTACAAGTACGTTACACGCAAACCCGCGGCCTTTGCTATATTCAAGTTCAATGATCTTGGACACGACGTTAAACCCCATTTCACAAGGTTGTTGTGATGTAGCTTTGAAGTTGCCGCCGATGGCGTAAACCACGTAACACCTGGCGCGTTGTCAACAACGTTAGATATCTTGCGTAGCAAACTTCCCCTGGGGCCATGACATCATTCCATTGTCTCATTCCAGCACCAACAACAACTACCGACATCTCAGCGACATCCAGCAAACCGGCTTCTTCACCATCGACCGCCATCACCACGGATGCATCTTCACCAAACGTGATAACAACATCTGTGTCAACATCATCATCTGCAGGAACGACAACTACCGCGCGTGTTGTAACGACGACAGCTACCCCAAGTACACTTTCACCTAGTACATTCATTCATAATATATACTATTCCACTTTCAATAGGGATGTGTGTTTTCTTCATATGTTACACAAAACAGATTTTCCTAATATGTCAAGTGACATATCTTATTACCCCTATCAAATATTGAGTAGTATATAACAGGTATTACAAGCAAACCAAGAAAGGTTTCAGCGAACATATGTGTATGTATAATTACAGATAATAGTTATGAGATCATATATTCGTAGTTTTATGACTGTCCCAGCAGAACAGTGATTAGTTGAGGAGAGTTATGTCCCTTAGTTGTGCGAGGATCCGATCATCGTGGATCGTACTTATCGTGTCAAAAGAAACAAACGTTCATGGAACGAGTCATTTGCGGCCTCGTCGCCATCAGTTTGAAATAAATTTTGCGGGTGACATATCCTTACTGTAATATACCTTGACTGATAGCACTTCCTTTAATTAGCCGTCAACATATGTTAAAATATTTGGAATTCGTGTTATTAGTATTATTATTTAATGTTATTTTCACGCTTTCATTGAGGGCGGGGCGGTCGGGTAGCCTAGTGGTTAAAGCGTTCGCTCGTCACGCCGAAGACCCGGGTTCGATTCCCGACATGGGTACGATGTGTGAAGCCCATTTCTGGTGTTCCCCGCCGTGATATTGCTGGAATATTGCTAAAAGCGGCGTAAAACCTCACTCATTCACGCTTTCATTGAGAGCCTGATCAACCCATGCATGCCGTACCCAGAACACGTAATCCGGTTTAGCATTGATTATCAAGCAGCAATCGCTGGTGGAAAGAGGCGACTAGAAGGATCGGGGTGGTCTGGTTCGATGGCTTGGACGATTTCGTGTCAACGTACCCCGACGGCGTGGAAAGATGCACATGATATCAATTATTCGTTCACCTGGCCCAGACTCGAATAGTTACACCGCCATCATATAGCTTAAATACGGAGTGCGCCGCAAAAGAAAAAAACCCTTACCTTTGTACAAAATACGAAGAGCAAATAATTTATCAATATATGATTCAATAATTGAACAAGTTTCTTTTATTTTCAGGTATCCATATGAGCAACACGAGGACATCCTTCGGTGCTGATGACGCTACACTGACATGCGCAGTGAGATTTGTTACCGCTTGGAACTACCTCCTGGTATTACACAATACACCGTCCGAGGCGGTCCCAACCATCACTCTCTACCCCAATGGGAGTTACACAATTACTAAAGAGGACATCAAATCCAATTTGAATGTCACGGTGGACGCCAAAGATGAGGGGGTAGTTTTGACCTTGACATTCAAGAAGGTCGCGTGCAGTGACGAAGGGAACTACGCATGTACGTTGTTCACTTCCGAGAACACGTACGCTGCGCATGGGCTGTTAGAGATCGTAAGTAAGTATCGTGAGCATCGTACGTAAGAGGGAGTGAGTGAGTGAGTGTTGTTTAACGCCACACTTATATTCCAGCTATATGACGGCGGTCTGTCAATAATCGAGTCTGGACCAGACAGTCCAGTGATTGACATCATGAGCATCGATCCATGCAATTGGAATACGATGACATGCATCAACCTATTCAGCCAGCCTGACCTCCCGATCCCGTTAGTCGCCTCTTACGACAAGCATTCAGGATATCGTGATAAGAATAAAGACACTCTGGGAACACTTGACTGATTGTTAGTTTTGTCATTAACTGGTAGACATTTGATGGGTTGCAGAAGACCTATTCTACCCCGGATCTTCCCGGGTGAGTGAGTAAGTGAGTGAGTGAGTGAGTGAATGAGTTGGTTTTGATGGGTTAGTGTGTGAAAACATGGTGTTGGATTTACTTTAATTATTCAATGTACAGGAACTGGAAATTGGTAGAGCCTACCCCTATAACTATACTTTACCGATTGTAACACTGCATTTTTCTCCTTGCAGACATACCCACACGGCCGCATCTTAGTCTCCCGGTTGAGTTGATCGCAAACCGTAAAATCAAAGAACCAATCACGTGCGTGGGGAATGTGGGTTACCCAGAAGGCTTTCTGTATCTCCAAATGAAGTCCAAGTCGTCACCTCATTTCACCACACTTCCGGCTCACGTGACCTACGACCGCCGGGAATGTCACGTGACAGCCACAGCCCAGCTGATTGGTTTCTCCCCTACGTTAGAAGCCAATGGAACTGTTATTCGCTGTATGATAGAAAACAGTCGTCTGCTGCCACGCGGTCATGACGTATCCACCGCAGCCGTCATGGCGGTACTGCCAGGTAATATACGTCATATCATTTCTGACATGTCTGATGTTTGTCCGAGGGCTGTTTAATCCTACTGAGAATAGACCAGTTTGTTGGACGTAGACATAAATCTACATAGTATTACCGATTTCACTTTGTCAGAACGTTGTGGCAACGTTAGGTTTACGTTGTCGCAACGTTGTAGGCTGACGTTGTGATACGTCATTTTCACGTTCTCACATGTTATGGTAACGCTGAAGTTACGTTGCGGGAACGTTGTATCTTATGTTGTGGGAACGTTGTATTTTACGTTGTGGGAACGTTGTACTTTACGTCGTGGGAATGTCGTATTTTACGTTGTGGGAATGTTGCATTTAACGTCGTGGGAATGTTGCATTTAACGTCGTGGGAATGTTGCATTTTACGTCGTGGGAATGTTGTATTTTACGTTGTGGGAATGTTGCATTATGGGAACGTTGTATTGTACGTTGTGACAATATTATATGCAACATTCTTCTGAGGACTACCATGGCCGTTGTCACAACAATGTGAACTAATGTTGTGTTAGAAAGTTGAAATGCGATGTGAAAACGTGATCTGATTGTCCATATACCGTAATGCCTGTGATATACGCGGAGGCAGCTTTGTGGAAGAAGTGAGGTGCGTGCGTGCGTGCGTGCGTGCGTGCGTGCGTGCGTGCGTGCGTGCGTGTGTGTATGTTGGTGTTGGGTGGGGTAGGGAAGGGGGTATATTATAGTAACAAAATGCAAGATGAATGCAAATTATGTATTTTGGAAACACCTGGCAAGGAGCTAAGACAGAAATCAGTTCAAAAACGGCCTGTTCTAACTCAGAATCCCGAATGAGTGAAACACATGGCTATTCTGCCTCGAAATCCCGAAGGGGTGAAACGTATGTGGAACTGGGGACCTCGTCTACCTCAGGATTGCGAGAAGCGTCACGTATGGAATACTGGGGACCTATTCTCCGGGTTCCCTAAGTGCAGACACCTATTGGGTCCCATAGATCTATTCTACCCCGAAAAACTCGTATGCGATACTGGGAACCCACAATACCGAAGAAATGACAAGATTGGGAACTGGGGACTTATTCCCTCCTTGAATCAATCCCCATGTACAGTCCGTTTGCTGCAATATGGTACCGATGAAATGCAAAATAAATATAAACCCAAAAGCACCATTTCGTTTTAAATGGCATGAAAGTTATTCATTTGTCCATACAACTCGTCACTATAATTTCAGATATTGTCATGAAGTAGAGAAAAAGTTGTTTAACAAAGTTACTCTCATTGTCATTGCCTGTTGTTACAAGGGGGTCTACACTGTAAACTGAACAGCCTTACATTCGCTCTTGAAATTGGCGCGTGTTCGGCCAACCCACGACTGTCTTTTCTGTAATAAAATCCTGTCAAATGAAAAGTCTAAATCAGAAGCGTATCTTTCTGTAGTAGTTATTAAACGGAATATACAATGGGAATCTGTAAAATATTCTCAAAGCAATGTTAGTGATGTTCTTGGTATTGCTATTCAGCTTATTTCAAATGCAAATAAGAAAATAATCAGAACGAGCTCAATATATCATTACAATACGGTACATGATGAAATTCACAGATGATTTGAAAACCTTGGTATTTCACGTTTATGATTACTGCAAGTCGGAGGGGGTGCATAGACAAAGTTGAGGCCAGAATTCATAATGTAATAAAGGTGTTTCAGTCAACTATCAGTCAAATTATGATTTCAGTTGACAGTAACAGTGACAGTGACAATGAAAATATTTCAGAATAGAAGTTTTGAGACGACCCCTGTGTTCCGCGATGCCCTTCAGCTGTTATGTTTATTGCGCAGGCCCCTTTGTAACAACAGGCAGTGAGGTGAAATGGGGTTGAAGTACCAACAATTACATGATAGTTCGTTGAACAACATTTTCAATGACAATGTCTGAACTTATGGTGACGAGTTGGTATGGACAAATAAATAATTTCCATGCCATTTAAAACGAATTATTGCTTTCGTATTTATATCTATTTTGCATTTCATCGATACGATTTTAAAGCAAACGGACTACTCACACACAGCGGTACCGAGGAATTAGGTTAAAATGGAATTAATAAATTGAATGTCATTGTATCCAAACTGCGTGGATCGATGCTCATGATATCAATCACCAGATTGGCTGGTCCAGGCTCGATTGTTGAAAGACCGTGGTCATACAGCTGAAATATTGCTGAATGTTAAACAACAAACAAACAAATAGAATGACTACCCATCGGAAACACGCATGTTGTGCAGGGACCTATATTCAGTCCTACAATTAGTCAGCGCGGAGCAACACGAATGAGTATACTAGGAACCGTCTCTGCCCCTAAATACACACGGGTGAACACCCATTGACTACAGGGAACTTTTTTGTCCAAGAAGCCCTATGAGATATATACACATTCTTTCTTCATGAAAGTGACACAACTCGTTGACTCGGAATTCTCAACGCGCATGTGTAATCAATATCTGGCGAGAACTACAATGTAGTTCCCTATGACTATCAGAGCTTGGGGAGGACGGAAAGAGGCGATGTAATCTGACTGTCTAACTCCATCAACTGAGTCAATGGGTATGTGTATTTTGACAATTGAATCCTTCCGCGGTGATGTTTGTTCGTACATTCAATCTATCACAGGTTGGATATGAGTGTTTGAAAAAGGGAATGATATAGAAAATGACTTTGCTTGAGTGGAGACAGTTTTACTATATCGACTGTATGTACAGTTTGACGTATTGGAAGGGCGTCATGGAATTTAAACGCTCAAGTCGCAGCCGATTGTGAGAAATAAAGTCCAGATGGACGGGTTGAAGGGGCGCTTTAACTGACTTACACCACGTGGGCCACGAACGTGCAGCCGATTGCGCAAAGATGCAAAACCGTAAACCGAGGCTCTCTCCCCTTTCGTCCGAATCGAATCGTCCGACCTCGGCGTGGAACACGTGCAGGTTTAATTGAGAAAAACGGTCTCACCCCTTTCGTCAGCAGCCCATTTATAAGAAACCATAAAATCTGACTGACTTACACCACGTGGGCCACGAACGTGCTGCGGATTGTGCGAGGATGCAAAACCGTGAAGCGAGGCTCGCTCCCCTTTCGTCCGAATCGAATCGTCCGACCTCAGCGTGGGGCACGTGCTGGGTTATTTGGAGAAACATGGTCTCACGCCACTCGTCAGTAGGAAATTTTGTCAGATACCATAAAATCACAAATGAAACAGTTTAAGTACATGTCTCAATGACGTGTCTAGATCTCCAGTGAACACATTATATCATAATCTTGTTCTTGCTGTAGTGGTGATGCTAAAGATATACCTAGCGCCTGTCTCTCTGTGATGTCAACTTTCTGCCACCCTGTCATTTTTTTTACCAAAATCCAGACATCTCTGGCAAAATGTGCACAATTAAATACAAACACGTAAATTGAAAAACCCCTCAATATTTTCGTTTGAAGTTGAGTTGAGAAAATTTAAGTTGTGTTCATGATCAAATGGTTCATTAAATATAAACGGGTAGAAAATGAAACAATCTTTTATCCTATTGTTTTTTTACGTGCAGTGTAAAGCTAGTTTTTATCCGAGATGATTAATTATTTCACTTATTAGTCCAAACGCCTGTATTTCTTTGATCTTAATTATACACAGAGAGCGAGTTTATTTAAGAGCCACCCATTCTGGGTTATGAGAGACACATTAAAACATAAATATAACATGTTATTAAGATGAAAAGGTAATGTAAAAAGAATTCATACCATCTCATAAAAATATACCTATGTTTAAATATAACAGTCTTTTACGGTTCAGCCATTTTTAGCTTCAGCTCTTACACTTGTATTGAATACACCTAACTGGCAGCATAAGTTGTATACTCCCCATGAAGCTGAGAACTAGTGATAGAGAAGGTTTGATGGGAAAATATTTACCACGTGAGGACAGAACAGGTACTTCCTGTAATAGGAATTATTAGGTACATGAGTATAATATTTCTTAATATGACATATTTTCACAATTTACGAAAAACATCATTGTGTAAACATGTTTAGGGCTGCGCTACTCTGCTTCGTGTGTCACCACAAGTACTTGTAGGTAATATTTCACATCTAAATGACACGTGAAGCGAAATAGAAGTTGTTTATTGTTGTTGTTGAAAATATACTTAACGTATCGTCTCCTGTCAATTCATTATCCTCTATTTACAGACCGCGGTCAAATAGCTCGAATATTGCCGAGTGTGGCGTTAAACAACAAAGAAACAAATTAGAAGCACACATATAAACGATGTATGAGGGGATAGCTAATTATGGCCTAATTGTTACGGGCGTGGTAATATCACTAAGGCGATAGGCTAATATATATCTGTGCACGCTCATTCATTGAACGGGGTAATGACATGCGATTTAGCCTTGCCCCCAGTGTCGCCGTAGACGCATGATATACCGAGTCAGTTACTTGACCACAGATGACAGTAAGCCTCATTATCTGTATTTAGTAAGTGGCTTGTTGTTATTGTTCATCTTATCATCAATAATACATCATGTGCTAAACACGAGATTATTGACAATATGTCGTCAATATTTCCTCGTTAAATCGCCGTAGTCCAATTATATGCATTATCATACACGGCAGACGATGACTTCCTCATCAGCAGCCAGAACATCTTCCCATCTCGTCTCTCTTCAAAAGATGATTCAGGGGCAGTGGGGTAGCCTGGTGGTTAAAGCGTTCGCTCATCACGCCGAAGACCCGGGTTCGATTCCCACATTTCTGGTGTCCCCCGCCGTGATATTGCTTGAATGTTGCAAAAATGCGGCGTAAATCCAAACTCATTCACTTACTCACTCACTCAAAAGACCATACTTTCATATTTAACTGATATTATTATGCATGTTAATCTCTCCTAGAAACGACCTGTAAAAAGGTATACCTGTCAGGTATAAGTTTAACTGCAACACCCCAATACTTTAAATTACACAATTTAAGGACTTCTTTAACAGACATGCCGGTAGGTACACTGCAGATAGCAACACAATATGACCAAACATCTGCTCGACCAGCTGTTGCCAAAGTGATGCTGCAGTTATCCACCAACTGATACAACCAACATTTGATTTTGGTGAATGTCTTGTATTTTTTGGAAGTATTAGGTGCTATTTTATTTATGGGGCGGTCGGGTAGCCTAGTGGTTAAAGCGTTCACTCGTCACGCCGAAGACCCGGGTTCGATTCCCGACATGGGTACAATGTGTGAAGCCCATTTCTGGTGTCCCCCGCAGTGATATTGCAGGAATAATGCTAAAATCGGCGTAAAACCATACTCACTCACTCACTCACTCACTATTTTATTTATAGCAGGTCATAACGTTATCTTGAAGAAGCGCTCGTACAATTTCCGACATCGCAATCATAATCTTCACATACTTTGTCCGCACCCAGTGTAATTAAATTTAGACCTTGTACTCCGATACGATACGTCACGGCATAAAGAGTTGAGAGAACTTCCTCAGACCGTAGCGTCACGTGAACTCTGAGTGAACTTTGGCCGTCTGATCGACAAGAAAAATTCGCGGGTTATTTAGCCAATCAGCTGCCAGCTTACTAAAACAGTTCGGGTTCCCTGTTCCTCCTCTTTGATGCGGGAATTTTGACTTGTACAAATACAAGACTCACTCAGAAGACAAATATCCTTCAATCGTACTCCCTTCTGATGTATGAAATATCCACAACAATATAATGGCGTCGATGTACTATCTACTTTCGGAACTTATCGTTCTAGTTCGTTTTGGAGATACAGAAATCCGATACGAATGCTTCTCTCTCTCGTATCGAGGATTTAGCCTACACGCTGATTTTCTGATTAGAAAGTACACCTGACGCGACCACCTCGCGGGATGTCCTTAGATCCCCGCGTTAGAGAGGTGTCGTATCGGAGAACAAGATCAGTAAAAGATACTGAAGAAGACGATCGCGATGATGAAAGGAAGAAAATGACGATGTTGAGGAATAAGGAGGAGGAGGAGGATAAGAAGCAGAGTGATGATATTGAGGATGTGGGAATGTATTTACGCTGCTTCAACAATGCACCATCAATGGATGCAGCTTCAAACACTATTAACTATCATAAACTAGTCTGTGAAAGGCATTTAGAAGTGATACACATAAGGAAGAGAATTTATGGATGTCAACTTCTTTATTATGAGGAACAAAACGTTTCGGAGTATATGCTTACTTCTTCATCAGGTAGTTTTTGTTACGTTGTGTTCTTCGTAAAAAAGAAGGTGACATCCATCTATTCTCTTCCTTATCATAAACAAGTTATACATACCTAATCAGTTTTCTCTGGAAGTTGGAGCACGTGTGATCAAAGGTGAGGTGAGGTGAAATTGGGTTTAACGTCGCGTCCAAGATTATTGCACTTATATAGCGACGTGCATGCACGTGTATGTGTGTGTGTGGCTGCTTGTACTAGTCCGGACTGATGCCGATTTATAGTGCTAGCTCACTGAGATACCATGCCGCAGTTTAACATGAATACCCCACTCAGACACAGTATACTGACTCCGAGCCGACCAGTCCTTGTTTTAGCCCCTTAATGCCGAGCGCCAGACAGGGTAACACCAAGTACAATCTTTTAACGTCTTTTTGTATGACGCGGCCCGGGATAGAACCCTCGACCTTCCGCTCTCCGGGCGGACGCTCTACCACAAGACCACGGAGGCGGTCTCTGTGATCAAAGCGTGGTGTGCATGTGACCAATGAACGTGATGTACTTGACACATGTCTTGATGGAGGATGTATCTACGTCTTTATCTGTATCCTTCTCATACGAGGATGAATACTTACAGAATCACGGTAATAAGTTTACTTCGTCGTTCAATATATACTGATGAACAGAAATAAGTGAAACCCACATCTCATGTCTGCCTAGCGGGTAAAGCTTTGACGCATCGCTCCTCAGATACAGATTCGGTTCCCAAAAATGGATAAATCAGCCAAACGATCTATAAACAAATCATTTAATGAATGAATCAACCAATGGTTTAATTATTTCTGCCCCGGGGTCGATGGCAACCATCAATCAGTCAGTCACTAATTCGTTGATTAACCATACGGTCATTTCACTGAACGTTCAATCAACCGACAGGCCGTCAACGCACCATCAATCACTCAGCCAATCGTTTAATCACTCCCTCAGCCAATCGTTCAATCACTCCCTCAACTAATCGTTCAATCACTCCATCAACCAATCATTGAACGACCCAACCAATCTTTCTGTCAATCACTCAGCCAATCGTTCAATCACTCCCTCAACTAATCGTTCAATCACTCGCTCAACCAATCGTTCAACCACTCACACCACCAATCGTTTAAAAATCAACTAATTGTTCTATCAACCAATCATTCAATCAATCCCAACTTTTCATTCTATTAACCCATCATTCAATCCATCATTCAACCGATCGCTCAATCATCCAAAAATCATTCAACCAATCGTTCCACTAACCTATGACTTCTTCTCGCTCCAGATGACATCTGTGGTCTGACGGTCAACGGCAGCTTACGCCACCCGTACTCCTGCAGCAAGTCCATCGTGTGCACCAACTCTGACCCATCTGTTGGACAATGTCCAGACGAGCTCTGTTTTGATCCAAGCAGTGGACAGTGCGGCCAAGTTGGTAAGCTCGTGTCATCGTTCACAAACACATGCTTTGGCGGTTTCCCGCCTGTGCTGGGAGGTGTTAAATGTTTGATATGTTTGTTTGATGTCCAGCAAGCAACATTTCAGCGACATAACGGCGGACAGTCTGGCAATCCGCATGATGATATTATGAACAACGATCCCCGTCCTCGGGGCACGGTGACACGCAGTGAACCAATTAACCGAACCGACCACACGAGCCAGTTGGTGGCCTCTTACTACTTATGTTGCTTGGAGCCTATTAGAACTCGGAATCCCCGCGGGGAGATTTATAGGAGTGCAATTATTTGAATTTGTTTCCAGTTTCATTGTATAGAGCAAAAACAAAAACATTTTACAGCATTTCTTCAATTTTCATTTTTATTGATGATTTTAATTATAGCCTACATGTAATGTAAAAAGAAATGCGTTCCCGTTCTTACTCATATTCCGTGTTCAACGTCGGGGACTCAAAATATTTTTCCTTTTTATCCAGTATTCAAACTATTCCAGTACTACTACTACTACCACTACTACTACTACTACTACTACTACTACAATTACCACTAAATGTATTCTTATACTAACACCTACAATGCCTACTATATATGTACATGAGCCGTGTTAAGTTATATGATCAACTGTTTTCCATTATACGATTATATACTGAACCGCAAACGAAACGTCACCATGGATAGATATATGAGAAACCTTATTTGTCGAAAAACTGTAAACATACTTTGAGACATATTAAAAAGATAAAACTGGGCAAAACTGATCATCAAGGTTGAAATTAAAGCGTCAAATGTTCTTAAAGCGAAACACAGCACTAGTCTCTGAGAAAATGGCATCACAAGTCAGTATCTCGTGTGTCCGCCATGTGCATTGATGAATGCAACGTCGATACATGGAATGGATAAGGCGGTTGATGAAGGCCACAGGCACTTGTGCCGACACTCTGAGGAACGCCTGATGCAGTTCAGCTGCAGTTGTCGGCCTTGGTCGGACGTCATTCAGCCGTCTTTGAATCGCGTCCCACAGGTGCTCAGTGGGATTTAAATCGGGACTTAGGGCAGACCAATGCATGGCTCTGATGCCATTCTGCTGGGGGAAGTCTCTTGTTGCTCTCGCAGTGTGGGCACGGGCGTTATCATACTGAAACCCGTGGTTGCGGCGACGTGCCAAATGAGGTATGGCGTGTGGTCTCAAGGCTTCATCAATGTACCGAGCTGCTGTGACACCATTGCCTCTCCCTGGACCGATGTTCTGGAAGACCACAGGGCCGACCCTCTGTGCAAGACCAATTCCATCCCGCACCATGATGCTTGGACCACCCAACGAGTCTCTCTCAACAACACAAGCATCCGAATAACGTTTCCCACGGCGTCGCCAGACTCTCTCTCTGCCATCTGCTGTTGAGATACAGTAACGGCTCACGTCTGAGAAGAGGACTCTTCTCCACTGCTGGTGGCGCCAATGCTGGTGCTGTGTTGCCCACTGAAGACGGTCCCGGCGATGACGTGGTGTCAGAACGGGGGACCTGTGACAATGGAGGCGTCTCCTTGTCAATCGTCGACGCATGGTGTCCGCACTAATGTGTCGCTGGTTCGTCCCCATGGTCTGTCGAGCAATAACAAAGCGATAGCGATCTTAAAGATGCTGTCGGACAATCTGACGATCCTGACGTCGGGTGGTCCTGACATGGTTGGTCATGTGTAGTGTTGGTGGTCTGGTACCATTGCTGGGGCCTGTATATGGTCCTTACGTGGACTTGAAATGCATTGTCTACTTGCAGTGCGGTTTGTCCAGTTTGCAATCGTCCAAGGGTTTTGTGTTGCTGATTTCTTGTCAGTCTTGGCATGTTGTAGCAATTCAATAACGAATAAATGTTATCCGATCTGGGTGGACTTTTATAGGGCAAGAAATCGGGGAACGCATGTGCATTTCAATTTGCACGGAACTCTCGTGCATCGGGTTACCATGGCCGTTGACGCGATGCGTTTGGGCGATCGGTTTCATTGTCATCAACTTTCATTTTTCCTGACAAGGTAATGTTAAATTTTAGAAACTTTGACAAAAATTACCGAGATTTTAATAACACCTTATCATGCAATGTTACTTGGGGTGACGGTTCTTTTGCGGTTCAGTATATTAGTGAAATTAGAAACATCAAACACGTGTTGTATTTTGTATAAAAAGCATTTAATTCTAAAGCCATCGTGAACTTGACGGCCGAGGTCGACTGGGACTGTTTGATGGTGTATTGTCTTGCCCTGCGGAGTGGATCGTTCCCCTGGCTTCGAAACACTGGCCTATCCGAAGACGATACATTGCGTGATGTAGCCGAAACTCTGCGTGCCACAGCTCATCCCAACTTTCATTCACTAACATATTAAATTCTGTTTCACATCGCAGCCCTGTCGCTGCGCACGTCAACGGGCTCCCTGAACGAAGGCCTCACCGCCATCGCGTGCCGGCTGCTTCACCGGGGAACATGGGACATCCTGTCAGTGAAGAGGCAGACGACATCCGGTTACGAATATGACATCATGCACGTGCACAGCAACGGAAGTGTCGCCTGGATTGATAGCAACCTCGAGTCTCGTGCTCTCAGTGAAGTGTTTATCTCCAAATACGAAGCAGAAATCCTGATATGGATTTCAATCCTCAAGTGTGCTGACGGAGGACGTTATATTTGTGGGGCGTCTGGTATCCAGAACCTCACACAAGCACAGTCAACACTGAGCGTCATCTGTAAGTTCATTATGATTCTCTAACCTGATAACCGTGCGGGACAATATTCATGGCGCTTCGTCTCTCAACACTGGCTTGTAAGCTTTGACCAAATGTCAACAAAAAACGTTACTACTGTACGATCTTATTATCATGTAAGTAATACTATATCTAATAACGCTAGGAGCGTGCCTTTCCTGGTCCGCTTGACACAAGTTCCTTGTAAAAGATACAGTGTTATTTCACAAGTTCGAGATGTATTCATTTCTGGCGTGTTAGGTGAAGTAAAATGGGGTTTAACGTCTCGTCCAAGGTTATTGCACTTATACAGCGACGTCCATGCATATATAGTGCCAGCCCACTGCGATACCATGCCGTAGTTTAACCCCACTCAGGCACAGTATACCGACCCAGAGACGACCAGTCCTTGTTTTAACCCCTCAATGCCGAGCACCACACAGGGTATCAACAAGTAGCATCTTTTAATGTCTTTTGGTATGACACGGCCGGGGATCGAACCCCGGATCTCCCGATCTTCGGGCGAACGCTCAACCACTTGACCACGGAGGCGGTCTTTTCGTGTTAGGAACTTGGACATGTGATTGAGATGAAAAGGGGTTAAACGTCGTTATTTCCTTTATAGACGCAAAATAGCTGGACACCTTATATAGTAACTGCTGTGTTGTTATAAATTGCTGGGCAAAAGAAAGTATGCACTTGAAAATTCAATTTGAATGGTTTTTTCACAAACGTTCTTAAAACGTCACTAAGTTGAATACAGTCGCCAAAACTACGACATCTTTATCAGGTGGTGAGGTGAGTTGAAATGGGGTTTAACGTCGTGTTCAAGGTTATTGCACTTATATGGCGACGTGCATGTACATGAGTATGTGTGTGTGTGTGTGTGTGTGTGTGTGTGTGTGTGTGTGTGTGTACTACTCAGTTCAAATGCCGCTTTTATAGTGCTAGCCCACAGAGACACCATGCCTCAGACACAATATACTGACTACGAGCCAGCCAGTTCCTGTTTTGTCTACTATAATTATAAAGCGAGCGTCAGGCATAGTAACAACAAGTACCATCGTGTAACTTCTTTTGGTGGGACGCGGTCGGGGATCGAACCCTCTTTCACTCTCCGGGCAGACGCTCTATCTACTGTACCACGGGGAAGCATTCCACAAAGTAGATAACAACTTTATAGTTCAACGTTGGGCTCACTATTCCAGCTATATCAATAGGCCTTTACAAAATCCCAATAAACCGGTGATTGATATTATGAACAGCATCTCGCGCCGCCATGTTACGATAACACGCAACCTTTCCTCCGTCGCTATATGCAAAAAAACCCAGAAGTTATCCATAAAGTTGTACGTTTTCTCACTTATTCACCAACTTCTAGAATGCCAATCAAAAGTTAAATGTAATGATAATAGCCGTCTTCGTCGATATTAGATGATGCAGATGGTGATGAAGGTGATAATAACAACATCGCCAGTTACCGTCATCATCGCCGACACAATAACGGTGGTAATTATACAATATCACATTACGTCCAAATAATCCTTTATCAGTCAGATGGAGATCCCATGAAGATTTCGGGTCAGAATTAGTCTTCATGAACCCATGCTTGTCGTAAGAGGCGACTGACGGGATCGGGTGGTCAGGCTCGCTGACTTGGTTGATGCATGTCATCGTTTCCCAATTGCGCAGATCGATGATTCTGATGTCAATCACTGGATTGTCTAGTCCAGACTCGATTATTTACAGACCGCGGTCATGTAGCTGGAGTGTGGCGTTAAACGACATACTAACAAACAATTAAGTGATGACAGGCAACACCGCTTTATGTATTTTGCATTTTGTGATGATAGCGGTTGGTTATCTTTCGTTCTGGGAGGATATATGGCAGTAACCTAGCATGAAAGGTTTTCCTTTTGCATATTACATATACAAAAGAAAGTTGTATCAGCTTCAACTGAATGATCAAACAATAACAGGGATGACAATCATCATCATCATCATCATCATTATCATCATTATCAGCAGCAGCAGCAAAATGGTTATAGTTTTCCTGTTTAAACTGCCAAAACTAATATAGTTTTTTGTCTTATATACTCACCGCCAAAAGAAACGCGAACCATAGATACATATCGAGAAGTATGTACGTTAAGAAGAGATGTTTCCAATGTGTACCAATTACTGATAAAACTAACAATCAGTCAAGTGTTACCACCGAATGTCTTTATTCTTATCACGAAATTTATCACGTGATTTCCAAACTTTACACGCTGATCCTGCACGAGACAAATGGTGCATCTCGAGTCATGGATCTATGACGTCACATGTGATGCGTTCATTAGCGTCGGTTCACAACATACCAGTATGTTCGTTTGTGAATCAAACCAATCTAATATCTCTTGAATGTGAGTAATTCTTTATATATTAACCAACATATATGGTTTTCATGTTTCTTTTATCGGTGAGTATATTATGGGCGGTGGGTAACCTAGTGGTTAAAGCGTTCGCTCGTCACGCCGAAGACACGGGTTCGATTCCCGACATTGGTACAATGTGTGAAACCCATTTCTTGTGTACCCTCGTCGTTATATAGCGGGACTATTGCCCAAAGAAGCGGCGTAAAATATACTTACTCACTCTTACATTTGTATATTAGTTTTGTTCCTCTCTCATATCCTCTCCTTACAGGGGCGATTGGGTAGCCTAGTGGTTAAAGCGTTCGCTCGTCACGCTGAAGGCCTGGGTTCGCATCCCACATGGGCAAAATAATTGAATGTGTGAAGCCCAATTTCTGGTGTCGAGATATTGCTGTAATATAACTAAAAGCGGCGTAAAACCATACTCACTCGATCTCCCCTCTTACACCCCTCAAGTCGAAACCCAGCCTCTGATTTCATCGGCCCCATGCAAGAGTGTAACCCAATAACTCACGATCTATGCATGATATCGGCGACTCAGACAGTTGGCTGTAATGCTATCAGCGTCGTAAGACGAACTTTATTACCTATCCTGTACGTGACCTGTGACTGTTATGGGAAATCGCATAAATCCTCCCACACTGTGTTGTTGCATTCAATGGGGAGATGTGAAGAAATCAATTAAATCTCTCATATTCACCACTGGTTGTGCGCTTGTCTGCATTCAGCGTATTTAACCTTTTCTAAGACAGGTATTTTGTAAGATCTGTGCGATTTAACCTCACTGTCCAAATACAAAAACGTTCCGCTTTGTATGATGTTGTGCTTGGCGTCAGACGGATGAAGACGAATTACAAAGCATTGTTTGAGAAACACGTATTAAAACGAGGTGGGGGTGTGTAGAGGGGGGAGGGGGGTGTTGGGTGTAGGGTGTGGGTGTGGCAGAGCGCGGGTAGCCTGTCGTGTACGGCTCCGCTCATTTGCGTGGGAGAATTCCATGGTCGTGGGTTCGAATCCCGGTTCGCCCTGATTACGTCTTTGGTTTGTCAGCACCATACCCGTGCTCGTAGGTTTTACCAAAGTGGTCGGCGTCTGAGACCTGCATCACTTCGGGCTTTCCTCCCACATTAAGCTGACACGCCGTGATGTAACTGGAATACTGTTCACGGCGACGTAATATGCAGACGTTTCACAATAACATGTGTAAAAGCAAACACAAATATGGACAAAATTTGTGTTTGATATTTGGGATCTCATAAATATTTAATATAAAGGATAGACTTATTTAGAATACGGATGGGGCCATTTTCAACTAATTTAAACATGAGCACATTTTAAATTTTCAATCACTAACGAGACGATTGGACTGGGGGGTTTGGGTTCATGCCCCCCAGATTTAAAAAAAAACTTAGATGCCCTTATAATTAAACGCTATTTGCTGCATTTTCGGACCGCTTATATCAGATTTTATTTGTAACAAGTATTATTTATTTATTTATTATAATTTTGTGTTGGTAATATGTTTCACCAACACCTTTACGACTTTCATTCAAGAAATATCTATGATGACAACTGAAATTTGAACATAAAAACAAATCGTTTATAGTTGACGCAAGCCGACCTATCTACACCATCTATCCTAAAGCGCGTAAAGATTCCGATTTTCAAGTTCGACAGTAAATATCATGTTCGACCGTGTAGAGTTTGAATAAATAATTTACTGCATAGCTGGTAAATGGAGGTTCAATTATAAAAAAAATCTCCTTTTTCAGGTGTGAAAAATATGCTTTTTTTTCTTAGGTGTAAGCCATTGGTTTTCTGCTACAATGGTTGTTTCGCCCCTGTTGAATTATCAAGAATGATGTAGTCGGCCATCTCATGTTTTCAGCTAAACCGGAAGAGCCTATTTTGACGGTTCCTGTTCAGGTGGTAGAGAATGACCTCTCCCAACATGAAATCACGTGCAAGGCAGAAGTTGGCTTCCCTGCTGGTGGGCTTGTTCTCAAGTTTCGCCTCAAGAATGAGACTGACTTTCAACGTGTTGACTTCGATAGTACGGAAACCACGACACGCGCCTGCCGTACCCAGATGGAGGGGAAGTACGTGATGACAGGCAACACCACCCTGAATGAAACCTTGGTCATGTGTGAGGTGGAATCTAGTTTGACCAAGGCCAAGGCGGTCACTGAAATGTTGTTCATTATACCGGGTAAGCTTTTGTGAGGTGTGACCGCCTTCGTGGTTTAGTGGTAGAGCGTCCACCTGGAAAGCGGAAGGTCCGGGGTTCGATCCCCGGCCTCGTCATACCAAAAGACGTTAAAAGATGGTACTTTTTGTTACCCTGTCTGGCGCTCGACATTAAGAGGCTAAAACTAGGACTGGTCGGCTCGGAGTCCGTATACTGTGTCTGAGTCGGGTTTTCATGTTAAACTTCGGCATGGTATATCGGTGTGCTAGCACTATAAATCGGCATTATACAATAATCTTGGACGCGACGTTAAACTCGAGGCGAGGCGAGACGAGACGAGACGTCGCGCACAAGATTATTGCACTTATATGGAGATGTGTGTGTGGCTGCTTGTACTAGCTAGCCAAGGCTAATGGCGGTTCTGTAGTGCTAGCCCACTGAGATACCGCACTATGACATGATACCCCCGTTCAGACACAGTATACTGACTCAACGCTGACGAGTCCTCGTTTTTATCCCCTTGATGTCTAGCTTCAGGCAGGGTAACAACAAGTGCCATATTTTAACGTCTTTTGGTATGACGCTGGGAATCAAACCCCCGACCTTCCGCTCTCAGTGCAGACGCTCCATCCACTAGACCACAGAGGCGGTACTGATCCATGACTGACAGGCGTTTATCAGGCAATGCAAGAACATCACAAGCGAAAAACATATCGGTCTCGTGGCGACCATGTTCTTTGACTGCCATTCAGGGATTTGAACCACGGACGTTTGATTCTATATAGGAGCTTAATAATTGACTCATTCTATTGGGATGGGCTATTGTAGATTTGACCTTGTTAGTGTCCTACAAAATCAAGTAATTTCCTAAATAAGGTCAGATTAACTATTGCTGACGTACGGTTCTTAGATAAGATAGACAAGGAAAAAGACACATTCTTATGTACTTAATATATTCAGATTATTTTGTGTATTTCAGAGAACTACTGCGGTAATGAGAACAATACGTCTCTAGAACATCCGTTTGACTGTCGGTACTACATCCAGTGCCCTGGCGGAGGGATTTATGTGTCGATGTGTAGTGTAGGACTTTGTTTTAACCCTGTTAACAAACAGTGTGATTTGCCGGAACCCACGGAAGAGAAAGGTAAAGTATATATCTCCTTGTAAAACAATAAGGATATGAATTCCTCAGAGTCATCTTCAACATAAATATGTGTGAGTGAGGTTTGTTTTACGCTGCCATCAGCAATATTCCCGGTATTTGACGGCGGGTGGACCAAAAATGAACATCACACTTTGCACCTTTGTAGGGAATCGAAGCCAAACCCTCTTGCCTACCGCTCGCCCCTGAAATCTGCAGAACAGCCGATTGCTTTAGGGAGTCTCATCTCATACATTGCCTTAAAGTGATATATTCATGTATTACACAGGAAATATATAACATCAACGCCAGAGAATGAATTTTCCGACGAAACGGAAGCCTTTGGGTGTAAAAAGCAAAATAGCGGTGAAAAGTATGTGAATGGATCATTTAAGATTAGTGGTGACACCAGGGGCGGTATTCATAAAAAACTAAGATTTTTCTTAAGTCCAAACATAAGTTTAAGAAAACTGACTTAGCTAACTTTGAGACTTAAGTTGATATTCATAAAGATGCTAAGTCCGAAACCTAGCCAAGTCTCCAAAGAAAAACTAAGTTTGTTTCAAGACTTAAGTTGTTTTTCAGACTTATGATCTTTTATGAATACTGTCCCAGGTAAGCATGTCATTCACACAATTTGCATAAATAGATATGTGTTTGTTGCCTGGCACTGTACATCAGAACAAACCAGACAATCAAGTGATGGACAGAAATCCAGGCACACGAAGTCCAAAATTAAGGAATGCATGCCCCTATGGAGCAACCGTTCACGTGAACCTTCACACAGGAGAGCACGCCTCACAGTTCCGTGCTTGTCACTCTGTTCTAAGATGGCCGTCCCCATGGCAACGCCACCCGCCATCTTGGTCAGACGTTGCGCATCATTATCGACAGACAAGAAGCGTGCAGGGATTCCTGGTTAGAATAGGTCCCAAGCAACCTATGCTGGTCACAGGGGTGACGTTAATGGACGTGTGGAGGGTCACGGTGACTTAGGTTATCGCTTTTCGTCGTACCCCTAAAATGGGTTTCACGCACATACATTAGGTCAAAAAACAACACTGAACGAGAACGAGGCTGGAGATTTGGACATTTCCCTGCCCTATTTTCATCAGATATAATTAATCATTTGACTTTTTCATACAATATCCCCAGTGTATTATACGTCCTCGTACAAGTAAGGCATATTCTGTGAAAGAAGTTAAAACATGTTTCTCCAACAATGCTTTGTAATTCGTCTTCGGCTGTCTGACTACTTCCGTGGAGATTGGTTAATTGGCACGGAAAATTTCGAAATTTGTCCGATTGTCAAGGCAGATACTGATTATCAATCGTCCATCATGGGAAATCTTCATAGTGGCACAAGCAAATGCGTGCACCACCCTGATGCACTGAAAATGTGTTATTTTTTAATAATTTGTAAGCAAGTCATTAGTCACAATGGAAGACGTCTATCTCTGTCCATTCACAATGTTCGTGTCCTTATTTTCCTTGTTGCCCTCTCTCCCCCACACCCAAGCTCCCCAATCAGTTTTTGTCAGCCCAAAAGGAAAGAAGAGGTACTACTGCCATTGATCGAAGTAGGGGCATTGATTGGAAACGAGCTTCAACAACTCCGCGACAATCGTGTCTACTCAGGTGTTTCCGTATCAATTGGATTCTACCAAATTAACTGGTTCTTTCGTTTGAAATTAAATGCACCGTCGGGTCGTCACAATCGCTGGAACAGGAATCAGTCGAGTCAAGCCTGTTTCTGCAGCCAGAAGTTACAAGACTGCCTCTATTGTTCACAACACCCGGTACAAAAATGTTGTGTTTCGTTATTTACACATCCGCCCACCCTAAAAAAATGTAAGTTTAATTTTTGTACCGATACACCAAACATTAGTTTGATCTGGTGTAAACGCAATTCATTTTTACTATTTGTCACTTTGTACAAAAAATATTGAGAATTTGAAATCATATTTATACCAAAACAAAACAACATCTAAACTTTTTTAAGGTCTATTGTCAAGTACATTGCGACCACCTACCAACGAGTTTTAAAAATATAATCCGTAGACCAACTAATAAAAAAGACCTTAGTACGGAACGCTCATTGCTCTTATCATAATTCGTTCCTTTCCCATTGTCTGAATTTCTGAACAGAATATTCTTTCACTTCGACACACCACCGCGTTACACTATCGATCAATCACTGGTCACTTGTCGGTCACTCGCAGTCATTCGCTCGCCACTCGCGCGACATGCGCTACTCACCCGTGACGGACGTGTTTTCACGTGTTATAGAACCTTGTGACATCCGTCAATGGCCCTTGCCACCGACGCGATCTATGCGCTCACGACGAGTGTCACCGGAGCATACTTAGCAGCCATAGTGTATTTGTTTTCATTGTCGTTCTGCCTGATAGTTATTGATTATATAAGATTATATTAGACTCTTTCAAACGGCTGTTAAGATTGTTGTTCTTAAAGAAGAACCTTGGTCAACAAATTAGAGCCTTATTCCCTTCTGATATATTGTTATGGATATAATGATATAATGTTGACAAAACAGTTAACCCATCTGTTTTTTATAAATAAAAGCGACAAATCCTTTTCGATATTTATAAGAAATCTCTGCAAAAGCAGACTGAGTCAATTGTATCATGGGCATGTTGTTATGAATCACTATAAAAAGTGATGATACCAGGTGTTCGCGAAACACCCGTACAAACACATACAAAGGCAAGTCAACTATTCACCTGAAAAAAGCATGGGACCATATGGTACAAGTCAAAATATGGTATTGCATCAGACATCACTCTTGTCACTGATCCGTCACATGTGTAAATGTTCTCCACTTGTCTACCATAAAACCCTTTGAAATCTTTACTGGGGCATTGAATGTTGTAAAACATTGAAATGTTGAATGTTGAATGTTGAAAAACTTCATCTTGGTGTCACGCACACGATTTTACATAAATTTCCTCTTAAAAGTCGAAAAGTTTTCTTTTTCAATTATAATTTAGTCTTTGGTCATGTCAAAAGCCCAACACGCGGAAATGAAAGAAAGAATCAAGCTACTTGTAAGCCATTTGAACATGTCTGATAAGTTTCCTTCCAAAAGTTCATACGGTATTACCATGAGTGCAGCAACGTTTGCATTTGACATTTACAGTTGGCCCATCAGGCTCGATACTCGACCGCGTCCTTTACTTGGTCTGTCAATAACGCCCGAGCCAAGACCCTCGCTTTAAGAACAACAGAGTTTCATAGCATGTGATTACTATTGCCTCGTGTGAAGTCACATTCGATTCCATGTGCTCTGACAAAAACAACGGTATGACGACGAATTACAATTATGAACAAAACTGAGTTTGATAATCCAATCAAATATAGTCATCGATTCAAGCTATAGATGTGTATTTCTTCCAACTAAAAAATATACTATTTACATAAAATACGAATTAAAACTTTACAAAGGGAAGCAATCTACAACTTTAATGCATACGTATTATTCAAATGGTCCGAATGCGAGGGAGGTTTAATTACATTGCAAAAAAAGACGGGAACTTTTAATTTTCGTTTCTTGGGCTTAAACTTGTCTGTGAATTAAGTACAATGGATTGGTAAATCTCCAAGCAAGCATCTCTGACAGGGCACAACGAGAAGATCTATACTCCCACAGTGCTCTGGGGTTTTAATGACACATGCATTGGCCCTGGGGCTTGAGTGAATACGGAGTTTTTATTAAGGAGATAAAAAGTCTTACATGGTCTGAAGGACTCCCCGCTTCCCAGACTGTTGCACTGTGGGAATGAGATTCCAGTTGAGTTTAGATTAGGATTTTCGGGTTTCTCGAAAACTGAAGTAACTCATCAATAATCCGTTCTTTGATCAGGGGTCGCGAGCCACGGAGAGAGGTTTGGTTCGATTTTTGATTTTTTGTGTCCTTGAGGATATTAATATTCGATAACTCCTATAGAACTGTAACTCCGAGAAGAGTCGGAAACTTCAATATCTTCTTACAATTACATACTGTGTGTGCTTCTTAATGTGTGCTTGTTATTCATTATAACAAGGCGGCTTGGTGAACGTTTGGTCAGTTAAAGGCATCAGAATGTGTTTCTTTCCGAGATGACAATGAAGCAGTGCGTTAGCCCAGTGGATGAAGCGTACGCTAATCGCGGAAGAGACCGGGTTTAATACCGCACAGACATACAAAATGTGTGAAGCCCATTTTTGATGTGTCTACCGGCAACACCCGCCACACTTTTATATAAAATGTAGGTCAAGAGTTTCGAATTAGCTCCAAATCTGTATCATCAACAAATCATTTTGCTTCGCAGTATTTCTTCTAAATGGCTTCACGTCTTATGATTAATTACCTTTTGTTGCAATGCGGGACATGGTGTGGCTATGAATGACATGCTAAGTTATAAGTTGGACCCGTCACGACGGCTCGGGGAACATAAGCTAACATAGAGGCTAGATCAACCCGGGTTCCCTTCCAGGCCTCATTTGTCTTACCGCACACCTAAATCTATTGTAGGTATGTCTTTCGCCTGCATGCTTTGAAGTGGTAAGAATACCACAGTTAGGCATTTATAGCGACAGACAAAGGAGAGTTATTCCCCCTAGATCTGTGTTAAAAATGTCGTAAATATCCGGAGAATGGCGTCTTTTATTTGAAACACAAAATTGTGGGTGGTATTTTGCAAATTTAATGCAACAGTTCGCCCATTCGAGCGGGGAACATAAGAAATGTACGGTTTGTACTAGTCCGACATTGTGCCCGTTCTATATCGGTAACCCCCTGATATGACATGCCGCAGTCAACATGTATACCCCATTTCCACAAAGCCTTATCTCTTGTTTTGTCCCCCTTCATGCTTAGCGCCAGGCAGTGTAACAACAAGTAACATCTTTTCACGTCCTTTCAACTAGACATAGGTTCTGCAGTCGCAGAAAATAACGTCATAACATAATTTTGACATCTATATGCATACCTTCTGGTCTTAAGTTATTTTTGCCATTGTTTTAACGCCTTCTTTCTGGACAGACGCATTAAATTGTTCTTAGTCAGTATCCTTCTGTACTTCTCAGTCTCCCAGCTTCGCGTTATTGGGATGGTACGTTATCTAACTTTCCTACTGCTGAGATGCACTAATAACATTTTCCCTAAATTAACTTGTGTCCGGAAAAAAATTCCACATTTACTTGCGACCGGAACCAGATTCCACATTTATTTGTGACCGGAACCAGATTCCACATTTATCGGAACTACTTCCCGAAAAAAAATCCCTTGACCTCGCGTCAGTGCACGTACATTTAAAAATATGTCCTCATAGTTGTTGTTTGTTTGTTTGTTGCTTAACGCCGCACACACCAATATTCCAGCTATATGACGGCGGTCTGTAAATAATCGAGTCTGGACTAGACAACCAAGTGATTGACATCATGCGCATCATTCCGCGCAATTGGGATACGATGACATGCATCAACCAAGTCAGCGAGTCTAACCACCCGATCCCGTTAGTCGCCTATTGCGACAACATAGTCGTCTTTTACGGCAAGCATGGGTTGCTGAAGACCTGTTCTACCCCGGATCTTCACGGGTCTGTCCTAATAGTATCGGGCATTTATGTATCGGATTGTAAAATACGAGAGCCGACGAAGCAATGGGTGATCTTTTTCAATTTATCTTCCCTTCGCTAACCCGCTAGGTGCGTTGACCCGGTCCAACCTTAAACTGATAGCGCCTTTGTTATGCGCGATACGAGAGGTACGTGTTACATCCCACCTATAGACAGTTACCCAGTATAGGCTTGACCTCTGTCGCCAACGTTCACACCAGGGGAATGGACAGTATATCTTTTCTTTTTGCCAAGGATCTATCTGTTGTTCTGTCCTGAAATATGTATTCGGTCATTCAATGAGGGACGACCACGACTGCTTATGTTAACTGCTTATGTAATAGTAAACTACTGGATAGCTGTTCGTGGCGAGGCGTTGCGATCAGCTGATAGTTTATTCCAGGTCGCTTCGTTGACGTTTTGCAATCGGTACTAAAGGTGTTGCCATTGATATTTGAATGTCACACTTTTAAAAATGAAGTATACTTATATTGTATACCTACTCATATCTATGTTGTATTATCCCCGAACAGGCTACATGCATGCATCGGTGCAGAACGCAAAATGTGAAGGTCGTATGCAACGTGCAGTTAGTAAATGTTTAGACAGCATCAGAAATATATATCAGGTATAATATACCTGATATAGGTGATAAAACTTTTCAAGAAATTGTAAAAGAAACAATCACTGGCAAATTATGTCATCAACTACATATCATAATACAATGTTTACAATACATGAACGGAAATCACTGCACCGACATTGAGATATTTGTAAGGGTTAATTGGTGCATGGTGTATAAAAACATTCTATGGATGAATGGTGGCTGTTTGATGCCAAGATCTACCATGATTACATTTCAGTCGTGGTAGTAAAAGATAACATCTTATAAATTAAAAACAATGTATCCATACTACTACATTCACTGTCTACAATCGTGATTGTATAATTGTGCTATCTACACCCAGTTGACTTTGACAATGATCAGATTATTGTAATAGACAAGGCCCATTTTTAATTTCCTTAGGAATTGTCATTTAGGTTTCCTTCTTTTAAACTTCTGTTTTAAATTCTCACACAACCAAATTAGTTTTATTATTCTTTTGTCTCTTTACATCAATACATATCTGCATTGCACAATGTGATAATTTTATTTGATATCTTTGTATACTTATGCATTTGTAACAGAATAAGATTTCACATGCATGACTTTTATGCAGCCATTTTATAATAAAGTATAATATGTTGTATGTAAAAACAAAAAACAAATAAATGCATTAAGCCATATCTACATGGAATGATTGTGGGTTTAAATTTGCAGATATGTCATGATAAATATATTTGATTATAAAATATTTAAAATTATATTTGTTACATCATAATAATATTCAATAGACTTAATACCACATTTGTCTTAAAGTACTGTTGAAAGAAAGTCAGAATATTAACACATGTAGCTGCAGCAGGATAGTTCATCAGTTGTAAGGGTAACTTGTCAACATATGTTACCAACTCAAGAAGATAGGAATGTCGTAATTAACAGCTGTTTATGTATCTTACACTTCTTGTGGGGTAGGGGGCGGTCGGGTAGCCTAGTGGTTAAAGCGTTCGCTCGTCACGCCGAAGACCCGGGTTCGATTCCCGACATGGGTACAATGTGTGAAGCCCATTTCTGGTGTCCCCCGCCGTGATATTGCTGGAATATTGCTAAAAGCGGCGTAAAACTATACTCACTCACTCACTCTTGTGGGGTAGTCAGTATGAATGGCTGTTTGTTGGCACAAATCTCTGTAATTTACGTCTATTCTAAGAGCCTGAGTGTGATCATTATATAAGACATGGATAAATACATAAGCACGTGTGATGACCCAAGGCCCTACATCATGGCACACAGTTTACAAGGGGCAGGATAATACGGGTAAATGTTTAGTTTCTTACTATAATAACCATTATGTGTATTGCAGCTGAGTAACTGATTGGTTGATAGATGCATGGTAGATTTTCATTTGGTATATTTCTAAAATATATTGTCAAATTAAAAAATGAATAAATGAGAAGAATGTAGATATAAAAATAAGATCAGTTGTGTTATTCTGAAGGTTATTTCTTCTTCAGTCATTAGTGAGTGAGTGAGTGAGTGAGTGAGTGAGGTTTTACGCCGCTTTTAGCAATATTCCAGCAATATCACGGCGGGGGACACCAGAAATGGGCTTCACACATTGTACCCATGTCGGGAATCGAACCTGGGTCTTCGGCGTGACGAGCGAACGCTTTAACCATTAGGCTACCCGACCGCCCTCAGTCATTAGTAAAGTTACGGATGTACAATAATTATAGATAACACAAAGGCGGATAAATAAAATGATTTTGCATTATTTCATCGATATGATATGTTAGCCCAGACTCACAGAATGTATCGCTCTTTTCTGACGTAGACCTTGCCGTGGCAATATACCGTTTTTCATGGCCTTCTCCCTGCTCTTCCATCGTTGTAATTCGTGTTTTAGTTGAAGACTGAACAAATGTTGATATTTTAAACTAATAATCACAACAAAACATGTCCTCGTTAAAAATGCTAGTTAAAAATTCACACTCGTAAACGGTCATTTTTTAATCGAGGTGCAAAAGGGTCACGCTTTAGCTTGGCTCCGTCTCCACATTTCATTACTTGTCGCAGCGCACATTAATCTGGGAACCAGACCGAAAGTGACAGGTTGGATCATTGCTAATTTCATTTCAAAAGGAGAGTTATTGCCCTTTGGAACAAAACTATCGCTCATTTAACAAACCGTTGAAGGAGAACATTGTATTGTTGTAAGATTGATAACACCACGAATTGTATTTACGGCAGCCAGAACGGCTTGCCAACCGCATACAGTTTTGTCGCATGGTAACCTCAGAGTTACTTCGTGTAACTCTGGAATGTATGTTTACAGAGGAAAACGAGTTTTTGCAGATGTTATAGGGTATGAGAATTTAGACTAAATCTGTTTCTTGTCAACATCAGTCAAAAGTGACCGGTACTGTGACGCTCCAGCCAATACAACCGCATACAGTTTCGTCTGACGGTAATTTCCGAAGTCCTTCATGCAAATATGGACAGCAAAATAAAGCGCGATCTGGAATATAAGTTTACAGATGTAAATGAGTTTTTTTTCTAGATGTTAAAAGGCTTATTATAAATCCAAATCTTCTTCTCGTCCATGTCAGTCAAAACAGACCAGCACTTTGACGGAACAGTCAATTTGATTAAATGCCGTAAACAACGAACCGGTGTTTCGATGAATGACACCCCACACCTCTTGCTTCGATTCAGGGGCGGTCGGGTAGCCTAGTGGTTAAAGCGTTCGCTGGTCACGACGATGACCCGGGTTCGATTCCCGACATGGCTGCTATGTGTGAAGCCCTGTTCTCGTGTCCCCCGCCATGATATTGCTGGAATGTTGCTAAAAGCGGTGTAAAACCATACTCACTCACTCAGCTTGCGCCATAGGGAGGTAACTTTATCCTTTAATAAATACAATATAACCATTAAATATTTATTTCAGATACATGTGATCAATGTTTATGTTTTGGTTATCCCTTTAACACTGCTACAATGTATCTTGTGTCTTCACCTGTACAACGAGCTTGGAAATGAAATGAATTTTGTTCTTTCAGATGACCCCTCCCATCCCTGCTACCCTAATCGACATGGGGAGTACCTGCCCCACCCCTTCATCTGCAACAAGTACTACTGGTGTGTGGGGGGTCGGGAGGAAGTGCAACACTGCCAGCAGGGTACCCTCTATCTCGGGGAGGGCCAGTGCACATTCGACGTGGAGGAGTCGCACTGTTACAACGCTCGCAATACAACTCTACCTGCTGTGTGATAGACGTGTGTAGGGGACGCGTGAAGGTCCGGGGTAGAATATGTCTGCTATAAGAGGCGACTATGCTTGTCGGAAGAGGCAACTAACGGGATCGTGTGGTCAGGCTCGCTGATTAGATTATTTACATAACGCCGCCATATAGCTGAAATATTGCTGAGTGCGGCGTTAAACAACACACACACTCTAACCCGGTTCCACACGGGTCCGACATAAAAAGGAATTTACTGAGCATGTGCCATTCAAAATGAGATGTGACAGACTAAAGTGAGACTGACGTGAGATGTAACAGACTAACGTGAGATGTAAAATACTAACGTGAGATGTATCAGGCTAACGTGAGATGTATCAGGCTAACGTGAGATGTATCAGACTAACGTGAGATGTAAAAGACTAACGTGAAATGTAACAGACTAACGTGAGATGTGACAGACTAACGTGAGATGTGACAGACTAACGTGAGATGTGACAGACTAACGTGAGATGTGACAGACTAACGTGAGCTGTGAAGACTAACGTGAAATGTAACAGACTAACCAGAGATGTAACAGACTAACGTAAGATGTAAAGACTAACGTGAGATGTGAAGACTAACGTGAGATGTAACAGACTAACGTGAAATGTAACAGACTAACGTGAGATGTGACAGACTAACGTGAGATGTGACAGACTAACGTGAGATGTGACAGACTAACGTGAGATGTGACAGACTAACGTGAGCTGTGAAGACTAACGTGAAATGTAACAGACTAACCTGAGATGTAACAGACTAACGTAAGATGTAAAGACTAACGTGAGATGTGAAGACTAACGTGAGATGTATCAGACTAACGTGAGATGTATCAGACTAACGTGAGATGTATCAGACTAACGTGAGATGTATCAGACTAACGTGAGATGTGAAGACAGGTATTTAAAGTGTTCCTATCTTATTGTCTGTGCACGGCAATTGTTGATCATATGTTGGTGTATGTGTTAAATACTAGCATGCTTATTGCTTTAATGAAGAACTTCACCTCATTGATAATATTCATGTAGTGAAGTGCTGTCCTGAAGGTCAGTTGTATGTAAGTATTTGTATTAACGTTATAATAGAACAGTTCTTGACACGCAGGCCCTGTTCTTGGTGTTCCGGCATTTTTACCTGTTGCGTTTGATTTTCGGGCCATTTAAACATCTCTGTCTTTTAAACCATCGTCATCTGCTGTTGAGACTAAAAAAGTTTGTTAGAACCAGAAACGTGTCCTCAGTGAATTAAATCTTCAAAATAGTTTGGAGAGGGACTATAATGATTGACAAATAATGAACATCAGTGGCAAAAGAGTCTATGTAATTATGTATGAGAAACTGTCCTCTGTGGTTGAGGTATAGAGGATGAATTTCACTGTTTTACTTGTATGTGATATTTGTTTTGCTAGAAGAATAAAATATCTATCAACGACATGCAGCACTAATATAAGTATGCATACATTTAAAGATACTTAGCACAGAGTATCTGTGTGTGTGTGTGTGTGTGTTTGTGTGTGTGTGTATGTGTGTGTGCGTGGCTTCTTGTACTACTCCGGACTTCTGCCGATTTATAGTGCTAGCACACTGAGATGAACATGAGTACTCCACTCAGACACAGAATACTGACGCCTAGCCAACCAGTCCTTGTTTTAGCCCTTTAATGCCGAAGGCCAGGTGACAACAAGTACCATCTTTTAACGTCTTTTGGGGATCAAACTCCGGACCTTCCGCTCTCCCACAAGACCACGGAGGCGGTGGCTTCATGCCGCAGTGATGAACATTTCTGACGTTTACCTCTTTGTTGAAACCAGCGAACATGATTATGGTGACAAATAATAACAGGCTCAACCGGGATTCGAACCCACGACCATACGTTTCTGTCACGCCTAAGGTGAGCATCTCTGGTCGACGAGTAGCAGTACCTTACACCCCTGGGTCGCCCCTGCACCCACTTAATGACAAACAAAACATATCCAGCTTGAAAAAAATAAAATCAATATTTTTTTTGTGATATTGATATAGAATAATTTGTTGAAGAATATGAATGCCAGAGTTCCACAAAATCCTCCAAGCGAAATGACCCCCATCGCTCCTAGCAACTGACACGGTGCCGCCTGCAGGTCCCCCACAGAGGTCGCCCCGAGGTATCTCTTTATTACCCGCATCACTGCGCGTGATGGATAGAGATTGGGCGGAGGCTTATTTCCCGAATAATCAGGCCTCAAGTTAACGAAAACCACACAGATCAACCACGTTCCTTGTGACACGTGGGACCAAGTCTTCCCAGCAGCCTCCGCGGTCTAGTGGATAGAGCGTCTGTCCAGAGAGCAGAAGGTCGGTGATCCAATCTCAACTACTCTGTTATGACAAAGCATAATAAAAGATGGTGATTGTTGTTACCCTGCCTGGGGCTCGACATTAAGGTGATGAAGAGATGAGAATATATAGTAATATTCTGAACGCATGTTTGAACCAATTCAGTTTTCAGAAATCAGTATGTTTGTTTGTGTAGAGTGAGTGAGTGAGTATGGTTTTACACCGCTTTTAGAAATATTCCAGCAATATCACAGCGGGGGACACCAGAAATGGGCTTCACACATTGTACCCATGTCGGGAATCGAACCCGGGTCTTCGGCGTGACGGGCTGACGCTTTAACCACTAGGCTACCCGACCGCCCCTTGTTTGTGTAGAAAACGGTGCCCATGTGTATATTCGAGGAATAAGTACGCTTGATTTGTTTCTCGAACTCGTTTCTACTGTTTAGTTGGTTTGTTAACTCGTTGTTTAACGCCGCGTTCAGCAATATTCCAGCTATATCACGGCGGTCTGTAAATAATCGAGTCAGGACCAGACAATCCAGTGATTGACATCACGGGCATCGATCCACGCCATTGGGACACGATGACATGCATCAACCAAGTCAGCGAGCCTGACCACCTGATCCCGTTAGTCGCCTCTTACGACATGCACAGTCGCCTTTTTAGGCAAGCATGACCTACTAAAACTGTAGTCCATTGATTGATACCATGAACATCGTTTGGAGATACGCTGACATGCATCAACCAAGTCAGCGAGACTGACCACCCGATCCTGTTAGTCGCTTCTTACGACAAGCATGGGTTGCGGAAGACCTATGCTACCCCGGATCTTCCCGGGTCTCGTGTTTTTTAATATTAGGACCCGTGTTCCCGAGATACGTTAAACACAATTAAATTGTATCTGAGGTTGTTTGAGATATAAAGCGTCATCGCAATATTGATGGTGTCGCAGTAATTGAAATATGCATTAGATGTGTCTGGGGTCGTATTTGCCTCAGAGTGACTTACATGGTGATACTTTGAAAAACAATAACAAGACAAACCCATCTGTATATATCCATACACATACATAAAAAAAACCGCAAGTGAATTTCACATAAGTCGGTTTTTATTAAAACAATGACTTAGGCTGGATGACATTTATATGTTATCATCGAATGCAATGAATATATTACTCGTACGTGCTCACAATTCATGTTGTTCACTCTCTATGTATTGTTATTACATTTTGTGACGATGATTTAGATAGCCAGGATTCATAAATATAAATTCGTATTTAATTACAACCAAATCATTGCAGAAATCACAAGACTTTCCATATCCTAATATAGTGCTGAATTCAAACATGTTGCACAATCACGCGTGTCACTCAAACTTCAACGCATCACGTTGACTATGGAGGCTACTCGTATTTACAAAGCGGGGTTTGGTGATTTGGGTAAAGACGTCAAGGCATCTCTATACATTGCCGGGCAAAAGAAAATATACACTCGAAAACATAACTTGACCAACAAATCACAAACGTTATCAAAACGCGACTTAGCTACAAGACTTAGCTATAAGATACAAAACTGTGATACCCGTATCGAATACATCACCATTGAATGACCACATCTTGTCTGTTTCATTTTCTAGCCATCATCAAACATGGGCGTATACTTTCTTTTGCCCGGCAGTGTATTATATTGTCACTGACTGAACTTCATATGATATTTGACGAGCGCCACTTTGGTGCCATTCACGATTCAATATATTACTGGTGAAGCTCCGGGGTGGACCAAGTCTTCAGCAACCCATGCTTGCCATAAAAGGCGACTATGCTTGACGTAAGAGGCGACTAACGGGATCGAGTGGTTAGGTTCGCTGACTTGGTTTACGCGTGTCATCGATCCCAATTGCGTGGATCGATAAAGCTGGAATATAGATGAGAGCGGCGTAAAACAACCAACCAACCAACCAATATATTACTGCGCAACACTCAAGACGAATATCAGTCAGTAGTGTGACGCACTTCCGGCTGATGGTTTAAACCAAGTAACGAATACGTCACTTCACCCAGAACGGTTACAGTGTCTGTTTAACCTCACCTAACGTTGCCTATAACACTACTTTATCACGCATTTCTTACGATTATGGAAAGGGTGTTGTCGTTTTTAGTAACAGTTGGAAAATATTGTGAAAATATACTATTGCTTGATATTTTTGTTTATTATTGAAAATATCTGGGCATGCTTGGCTGTCTTTTCCTTCGATGGAACAATTTGTTTCTGCGACTCAATGGGTTGGCAAATGAGACATGAAACTCAGATATGACACTTGAAGCTTAGTCTGCGACACTTGAAGCTTAGTCTGCGACACAAGCTTAGTCTGCGACGTCCTTGGCTCATGGAGATTCGTATCTTCGAGAACATATAACGTCAACGCCAGAGAACCCTTCTTGATTATCCGACGAAATAGTTTCCATTAGGCAAAAGGGTAATAAAAGCTGTGAATATATACTTTATGAATCGATCACTGAAAATCAGTGACGACCCCAGCTGTTCGCGGTAAACATGACCTAATGGTAACACAAGCCACGCACACAATTTGCATTGAAAATAAATAAATTCATTCAAAATCTGTTCTTAAACAATCCTTGTAATTTGAAATTAATTTAAAATTAGCCATAAACATTTGAAATTAGACTTTCAGTATCATGTGTGATCACACAATGTGATGTTAAGTGATATTGGTTTGAGAACGCATCTGAAGTAATGTGCTGATAATGAAGAACTGAAATATGTGATTTTGAGAAGTGATGGATCTTTCTCGGTATCTCATGTATACATATTTGTAGGCAGGCGTATTCGCACTAAGGTCATCCAAGTTTAACTGTCAGTTCCGCGCCGGTGAGTGACGACATGTATATGTGGGCACTACGTCATTTCCGGTTCCCATGGGATACAATCCGCCTTCTCGATTCGCTGCACGAATTTAATTCCTATCACTTCCTGATAAACACAACCCGTGCCTCGCAAACAAGAACGATGTGCTTTTGAAGGCTCGGATAGATTTCCCTTTCTCGCCGACACCACACACCTAAATCTTTTAAACATTTTTATTTTTGAATTAGAGCACTCTCGAGACAGTCATCGCCATAATTGGTTTCATCATTCTCGGAAACGTATCAATGCAGATTGGAAAAAAATGGCGAGTAAATTTGTTGATAAAAGGAAACACGAGATGAGCCTTAGATCAATGTTTAATGATATTAAACCTGACAATAAATCGATCTTGAGGCAAATATTTGACGAGAAGACGTCTTAATTCTCTATGATGGAAGTCTGTTGATGAAACAAGAGGGATGAGACGTCAGTCTTAGGAATCGATGGACAGCCTCGGTACGATTGGCCAGCACTGATGAATCCCAGGACGGTTCAATTTTTGACAAGTCTATCAATCTGTGGAATGACGTTTGAATTAAAAAATGTGCTTAAAGAACAACAGGGAACTATTTCTCGTTTTATCGTCATTGACAAGTGCGTAGATAGCGCTTCGGGTGGAAAAGTATCTTGAATCAAAGGGAAAACGCACAGGACTATTTTTTGTGTTCTTCGTCACCGATTACATTGCGTTGGGATAATTTGAAGATTGGAACAAAGAGCAAATTGTTATATAAGGTGGAGAGTTGTGATTCTGTCTCTGATAACAAAAAACATCAAGCTGTTTCCCGTGTTCTGTTTTGATAAACATCGTGACTGGACATTTAATAGTGTTATCAGACGAGATTGACACATTATACGTCATCAAATTTATACTTCTCAAAAGAAGTCAAAGAATTTGATAATGTCTGTTTGCCCATCACTCATTCCTGCAACAATTTGTTAAATGTATTCTATGGCTGGGTAATTTTGTGTAAAAAATAATTGGTTCAAAGACGACTGACGTACGAAATGAGATTGTAGCCATATGACATCTACCATGTTTGCAATGTTGTAAATATTTTTTTATTGATGTTTAAAGATAAGATGGCCAAAATATCCTACAGCAGTTGTGTAATATGCGAATTTTGAAATCAAATTATATTTAAAAAAATAAAATAATGAAGAAGTATTCTTCGAATGCTGACTAAGG